ATTGACGATAGTGAAGTATGTAGGTGGTTCCATCTTCCATCCAATCTGAATTGAATTGCACCGCAGATTTGGTTCTCAGTGTTGGAGAGTATACACATGTATTAGTAATATGTTTGTTTCTTTTTGTAATTTGTTGATCGACAAAAAAATCGTAATTTGTATAGCCTTCTCCTCTTCTGAAATTTTATTTATGAGTGATAAAAATATCTAAAGACAGTGAAACAGTAAGATATATTATATCTTCTAGCGATTTGGCTGATTTTGTTTCCACATATCACTGAGTGTAATGTTGTTTTCTTATTTTGTTACACTAACATTTGAAAGATTTTTACCTGACAATCTAACTAAAGTTGAATCTCCGCACTCGAAGCGACAAATCATAAAAAAATGAGCGAATGTTATCATATAATTTTAAATAGATTGCCTGACAAACAAGTGTTCAATCTTGTCACATTTTGAAAACCGAAAAGACCCACGATTAGCCTCGTTCAGAGATTTTGCACATTCATATGCTCTTTGAAGAAAAGAAAAATGATGAATAAAGAAGTTCTTTTTTGAAATTCGCTTACCTATATCAGAACGGAGATGAAAGCGGCATTATTAGGATTCAATGCTAAAAAGTAAAGTACTTGTTTTCTGCTAGCCTTAACAAAATTGCCGAAATAAAGTTTTTCGCAATACATATTTGAATATTTTCCCCCCGAATATTTCCATTTCAAAACTGCCTGGGAAGTAAAAAGGGTTTAAGAAATTCCAAATTTCACAACAATTTAGATGAATTGTATCAATAATGTGACTAAAAGCTTTAATTGCAGCGTTAAGGTGGAGCTATTTGCTGGAGTTTTTTTTTGGTCATTTTTCGTGTTTTGTCAAGATATTGTCACTGGCGGCGATCGGGACGGTTTTACTTCCACTTATGTTTGTTTTATTCTTTTGGTACGTTCTGTCTAAATCGTGAATATTTATTTTCTAAAATATGTTCATTATTTCCATAATTTGAAGAAACCTATATCTATTGACACATTCCCCATTTCCATTCTCAATTTTATAGGTTGTTATTTGCTTCAAGTTCATTGACAAATATTCATAACATTCAGTTGACAAATAACAAATAAATCTAACAAATAGGAATGCAAAGTGGTTTAACAAGGATGGAAGATGGGATTTTTGGACTGGTACATAAAAAAGTTGATATGTTGGTTTCGCCTTGCAATGTGCAGTCTACGGATCCCTCAGTCTTGCAAGAGCGTGATATTTTCCTTTACACAAATCATAAATATTCCGGCGTTCTAATTTCGACCGGACGTAGCTACATCTGCATGCGTACTTATAGATCTCACTTTGAGGAGAAGTCCTATCATAACATAGAGACACTGCGGCCTTTTTCGTAACTATGGTGTACTCTTGGGGAGGGGGTGTTTTTAAATCCGTCTAACGTCACTCACACTGCACCGTATTTAAAAAAACACACATTGTTTTATATAATTTTAAAAAACCTTTGTGCTCCTGTTAAATGAAATTCTGGATCTATCCCTGTTTTGGGAAGCCATCATGGATCATTCTGGATTCTTTTCCCGCAAAATTTTCGATCCTGCCTTTTATTTTGAATTTCTTCTTAGCCTTACTCTACCTTAAAAAACAAATGGTTGCTCCCTAAAGTTTATTTAACCCGTCTTGTATCCCCTCAAAAAGATATGGACTGCAAGACAAAGTATTTAGCAGTCATCAGACATCGTCATAGCGGAGTATTCGATAAACTGACCAGGACTATCAAATCAAATCACATATCTTAAGTCTTCAAGTTAAATAACAATAATTACAACATAAGCTCTAATTGAGCTTTTGAACCGACATATATGAAAAATATAAACATGTATATTATATGCTGTACCGGTTTAAACACCATAGGACAACACATGCATACATACAATAGTTTACACATAGATATAAGAAGATGTGGTATGAGTGCCAGTGAGACAACTCCCCATCCAAGTCACAATTTCTAAGAGTAAACCATTATAGGTCAAAGTACGGCCTTCGACACGGAGTTGGCTCACACCGAACAGCAAGCCATAAAGGGCCCCAAAAGTGACTAGTGTAAAACCATTCAAACAGGAAAACCAACGGTCTAATCTATAAACAAAACGAGAAACGAGAAACACTTATGAACCGCATCAACAAACGACAGCCACTGAACAACAGGTTTCTGACTTATTTATCACATTAAACTATAGTAAAAATAGCAAGCACATATATAAATTTGCGTTTTTATCCAACGCAATCATGGGTTTGAACGTTGTTTTCAATTTGGACTTGTTTATATTTTTTCGTTTGGGCTTGTATTATATTTGCCTTCGGGTTTATATGATCCGTTCATCCTATTTCGACTCTTCAAAATTCAAGAGTCTATCCTAAATTGAGGTAAATTATATGGCCTTCCAAATAGCCTTTCAATTCCTAACATCACTGAAGAGACATTAATTGTCGAAATCCGGATATGGTGTACTAATTTTTGCACCTTTTGTTTGCGGTATACCATCTTTTCCGCAAGTTTATTGTTTTCTGTTTGGTATTAAATTAATAAATAAGATCCATTTTGTTACATCTAGTGATCCGTTTATTTGGCAATCGCCAATGGCAGTCAGCAGGGTTTAAGAACATCCGTTGTTTGACCTGTTAGTCAAATGCGTTTTGTTAAAATATACTTTTTATCTTTTTTGGTCTTTTGGAAAATGTTGTATGTGCTGTATTTAGACCCCTCTAACAAGAAATTTGTTTTGCATGCACACGTGTAAAAATTGCGGTTTTTATCCAACACAATCATAGGTTTGAACGTTGTTTTCAATTTGGACTTGTATATATATATATATATATATATATATATAGATATATACTATAGTAACTAAAACTATTAGCACAAAGTACTTGAAATAAGCAGAACTCAAGAAGCAGAATAAACTAATAAATACCAAACGAACAAACAAACAAACAAACAAACAAAGGAAATGTGTTTTTAGATACCCTGCAGCTGTATACATGCAAACATGAAAGTGTGTCAATATCTGCAAGAAACACACGGAACGCTGTAATTGCCACTCTAGCACGAGATCATGGACTTGAATTCATTGAAATTTGCCGGGAACATCGTCTGTATTTTCGGGGAAGGAGTTCCAGAGAATTGGAGCAGCATACCTAAAAGATTGCTTACCATACCTTGTTGTTCTCATTTGTGGTATCTATAAAAGATTAGAGCATCTGAAATCATATCTATGGCCTTGTTTATTATTTAAGTCGGATTATACAGGTGGGACCAAATCATGTATAATTTTGTAGGTCTCCAGAGCCACTTACCCTTCGAACATGTAGGCTAGGTATGTTTTGCCTTGACTAAAAGCCCTTCTTCATATATGTAGAGACATAATCACAATACACAAATCGTAATGCCTTTTCTTTATTTTTTTTCTATTTTTTTTTTTGTGGTGGCAATAGAACAAACGTGCATAGACAGGAGACAAAAGTAAGCTTGACAATATAAAAGAATGAAAAATAGTAAGTTCACTTAGTTTACATCGATGTTTACCAAATCTCTTCAAGATATGAAGTTGCTGAACATGGGTTTTTTTACAGATGGTTTTGATGTGGATATTAAAATTAACTTTTTAACAACAGCAATAGGCCTGGAATTTTGTCAAGATTTGCTTGCATACAATTAAAAAAAAACAAGTCAATCAAAATATTGCATAGTTGTATAAGGTAACCATTAAATTAAAATTAATTAAAAGCAACGGGTCATATTGGTCCTTGTGGCACACCTTTCTGTTTATTTACCCAGCTACTTGCAATATCACCTATTTTATCTGCATGTTGTTTTATACTAGACAGATCAGGTGTCGAAAAGGGGGTTGGCCTCGGCACTCAATTAACGTTTGGAGTGATACTTGTAAAAGTCTTTGCATTTATCATATTCAGTATGAAGCTCCTTGAGGGGGGGGGGCGGACCACATGCCCCCCCCCTTAAATCCGCCTCGACTGCAAATATAATTATTAAAACTTAGTAATATTCTGCCGTAGATGATGCATGGACAGTATACAAACAAGAATGTCATGGGATAGGCAGTTAAAAGCTCCACTGAATAACAAATTTCAAATCTTCACGGAATTGATTAACAGTCATGCCCTTTCCTGAATGCACAAAAATATTATCAAAGATGTTTTCGAAAAATTCTGATGGCCTCAGCTAGCACCTTTTCAATTTTTCTTTTAGAGGGGATGGGGAAAATGCTAACAGGTCTGTAGTTATTATTCAGGAAAGGATCACTTAACTTAAAAATTGATGTAATATATATGTGCCTCCTTTAGCCAGGCTTGAAAAAAACTTATAACCATAGGTAATAGATTTCAGTAACCGTGAATCTGCTGAGTGACGGTGAGCCAGTACTGATCATGCAATCATATAAAAAAGAAGATGTGGTATGATTGCCAATGAGACAACTCTCCACAAGAGACCAAATGACACAGAAATTAACAACTATAGGCCACAGTACGGCCTTCACTGACAATGGGCAAAGCCCATACCACACAGTCATCTATAAAAGGCCCCGAAATGACAATGTAAAACAATACACGACTGTTGTATTCAATCAAGTAACTTAAATGAATAAAGTCTATTGTTTAAAAGTATAGAGTTGAAAAGTTTTGCGATGCGACGTGGCATTCGACAAATTAACTTTTTTAAACATGATGCAATGCGTACTTTTTAAAACATGTTTCATGGGCTTATCATTTTATAATTTATTACCGTCGCAAAATAATAATGCCTTATGGGGAAAATTTCATAATAATCAACAATTATTATTTTCATTTTTGCAGTTATTTGACTTTATATGTTTTTTTTAAATAGGCGCCGGAATTCCAATCAATTGGTGACTGAGTCTATTTGTTGCCCACAGCAAACATTCACCCTTGGCCAGTTTACTGACTGAGAAAGTGCTACTTATAATTTCGACCAATCAGATTGGTGACTGAGTACCACATGACAAACTGCGCTAAACACAATAACAGCTGATAAACAAGTGAAAGCATAGGAAGGAAGGTAAGCATATTTTGCAAAATATACGAATTGTGCAACCATCTGCTTGTGATAAGCATATCTATAGATAGTTAAGAATTGCATATTTTACTTTTCAGAGAGTGACATGACTTCAAACGGAGTAATTTCTGAAGAAAATTTCCTCCAAAATGGCGAAGTCGATATAGAAAACGATGAAGTCAATGGCAATATTGGTGAAGATGAGATGGTTTCCTCAATTGACAGTCCTTCTAAAGAAATAAGAATAGTTCGAAAAGCAAAAAGATTTCATCGACAGAACTCTGGAGAAGGACAACCTGGCAATGGAGTGTTACCAAATATCAAACAAAATAATAATAAATCGGTCATTCTGGGCCTAAAAAATAGTCGTAAATCTCGAGATGGCTTGGGTCGAGGACTAGCAAAAAAAGGTATTGATAAATATAACTACCGAAATGTATCAGGGAACTAGTCTATTCTGTTGCAAACTGTTGAAAACCTGTTGGTGGCATTTTTTTTAGACCACATCAGTGTTTGTAAACAAACTAGCCTCGTTTTGAAAATTGTAAATAAGGTAAACACGTGCTTCTGTTTTGATTACACATCAATCAATTTTTCCTGTGACAAACAATTTAGTATAAGACTTACTGTATACAGTTTGCAAAATAACACGTTTCAAAATGTGAATATGTTTGTTAACTGCTGTAATGCATTGTTTATGTCACCAAAGGAAACAAATATTATTTGCAATGTTATTAAAGGAAAACAGGAAAGGGTTGTCATTCATTTCTCATTCTTGATGCAAATTCAGTGTTGAACAGGTAGGGGATTATCCCCCATATGGGTTATAATATTCCATTTGAGATATAATATCGCAAATGGGATACAATTTTCCTTTGAAAAAAGGTTTTTGGATTCAAGGGAAAATATTGCAAAGTGCAAAGGATCAAATAAAAGGCAATTAATTTCATTAGGAACTTTTTAGCTCACCTGGCCCTTTCAAAGGGCCAAGTGAGCTTTTCTCATCACTTGTCGTTCGTCGTCGTCGTTAACTTTTTACATTTTGAACTGTTCCTTATGAGGTGCTGACCAAATGTTGTTACTTTGAAGTCGATCCATCATCCAAGATGGCCCCCAGTAAGGAACTTAGTTTAACATAGGACCCTATGGGATTATACATACAAATGTCTTGTTTAAGAGAGCCACTGAATGGAACGAAATAAATCATGGCATGAATGTTCCTCATGAGGTGCTGACAAAGTGTTGATCTTTGTAGGCGATTAATCATCCAAGATGGCCGCCAGCGGGGACTTAGTTTATCATAGGACCCTATGGGAAATACATACAAATGTTTTCCTTCAGAGGACCACTGAATGGAATGAAACCAAACATGGCATGAATGTTCCTTATGAGGTGCTGGTCAATAGTTGTTACTTTGTAGCCAATCAATCATCCAAGATGGCTGCCAGCGTGGAACTTAGTTTAACATAGGACCCTATGTGAAATACATACAAAAGTCTTCTTTTGAAGAACCACTAAATGGAATAAAACCAAATATGGCATGAATGTTCCTTATGAGGTGCTGACCAAGTGTTGTTACTTTGTAGCAAACCCATCAACCAAGTTGGCTGCCAGCAGGGGACTTAGTTTTACAAAGGACCCTATGGGAAATATATACAAATGTCTTCTTCTAGAAAACCACTTAATAGATTGAAACCAAACATGGTATGAATGTCTCTTTTGAGGTGCTGACCAAGTGTTGTTACTTTGTAGCTGATTTGTCATTGTCCTTATAATGTCATTTTGTACAATTTCAATGAATTTATTGGTAATTTCTGTAAACTTGCTCTTGGGAGCCTCTAGTTTAATAATTGATGGTTTATGAGTTTGATCCTATGAAAAGTGCTGATTTTCAGAGGGATCAGTCTAGAAACTTGTTCATTTACTGGAAATGTGGCTAACCAAAAGTTCCTACTTTGACCTAAACAAATGCAATTTTCAATATTTTTGCTAAATTCAAAAATTTAAGTTTTTTGCACTGAAAAATAATTAAAATTTATACCTCATTTGGGCTTAATACCCCACATAGCTTATGACCCCCAACTTGTTGAAACAATGTGCATGTCAACAGGACATTGGAAAATAAACAGAAGGTATTAGTTGTTAAGAGACCATGCATAGATATGCACCAAATTCATGGTGTATAATCAGTTTGTTGATTGTTGCCATTATCTCATAATCTGGCAGAAAAGAAGAGAGATGAATAAAAGGGGAAGTGGGGTATAGTATACACCAATGAGGCAGCAACTAAACTACAAAAAACAACAAAAAAACACCTAGATGTCCATTCATGATCTATATATTTCTGAGAGTTAACAACTAGTAGGGTTTCTGATTTTGTTTGTTGGCAATCAGATAGTGTTTTTAATTGATCTCTAGAGGAAAATTAATTCTCAGGAATATTTCAGCCACATTTTGTAAGTCAAGGGTGTTTAAAAACGCATGTATTCCTTCAGTTAGAACTTAAAATCTAGCTTGCTTCTTCCGTTTAAAGGTTATTGTTTTTACCTTCTTATGCTGAATATGACTTTTTTTAGGCAAAACATTTCTGTTGTTTTGGCAAATTTGCAAGTTTTTGATAACATATATAAAATGTATTTCTAATTTGTTAAATTTAAGCATTGCTATGTATAATTTAAAAAAGAGAGATATGGGTTTAAGAACACAATCTAAAAAATAACATTACACAAAATGACAAAAATTTCTGGGCATAATCATTAATACCAAATAACGAGGCGTGTTTTTATACGACCGCAAAATTTTTTTTGGTATGATGTCGTCGTCGTCCGAAGACACATTGGTTTCCAGACAATAACTTTAGTTTAAGAGAATGGATCTCAATGAAATTTTTTAAGAAGGTTCAATACCAAAAAAGGAAGGTTGATATGATGGTCCCAACCGTTTAGGAATTAGGGGCCCAAAACAAGCATTTTTCTAGTTTCAGGATAATAACTTGTGTATAAGTATTTCAGTTGCTCTGAAATTGTACCACAATGTTTAATACCACAAGTAGAAGGTTGGGATTCATTTTAGGGGTTATGGGGCCAACAGTTTGGGAATTAAGGGCCAAAAACAAGCATTTTTCTAGTTTCCAGACAATAACTTGTGTGTAAGTGTATGGATCTCTCTTGACATTGTACCACATTATCGTAGCGGTAGGGGCATTAAGTTTTACCCTTGTCCGTCTGTACGTACGAACGTACGTCCCAAAATTGGTTTCAGTTCTCTAACTTGAGTTTGCCTCAACCAAATTTTATGAAACTGATACACAATGCTTATTACCACAAAACACAGATCAAGTTTGAATTTTGGTGGCGTCACTTTAACCATTCTAGAGTTATGCCCCTTTATAAATGGAAAAATTGCAAATTTTTAGTTTTTGTTCTCAACTAAAGTTTGCCTCAACTAAATGTTATGAAACTTATACACAATGCTTATTACCACAAAACACAGATCATGTTTGAATTTTGGTTGCGTCACTTTAACCATACTAGAGTTATGCCCCTTTATAAATGGAAAAATTGCAAAATTTTTATTTTCTTCTAAATATCAAGTAAATTTTATACGACTGCAAAAAATTTTTGCGGTCGTATATTGGTATGACGTCGTCGTCGTCGTCGTCCGAAGACACATTGGTTTTCGCACTCTAACTTTAGTTTAAGTGAATGGATCTCTTTGAAATTTTACCATAAGGTTCAATACCACAAAAGGAAGGTGGGGATTGATTTTGGGGGTTATGGTACCAACAGTTAAGGAATTAGGGGCCAAAAATAAGCATTTTCTAGTTTCCAGACAATAACTGTGGAACGGTGTATGGATCTCTCTGAAATTATACTACAAGTTTCCATACCACAAAGGGATGGTTAGGATTTGCTTTGGGGGGTTATGGCTCAAACCATTTAGGAATTTTGGGCAAAAAAGGGGGAAAAACAAGGTTGTCCTGGTTAATGGACAAATACTTTAGTACAAAACATAATTTAAAGCAGTGTAAGGGAGATAAATCAAATACATCATTGAAATTATCTCCCTTACACTGCTTTTAAATTATGTATAAAGTAATGGTTAATGAACAATTAAGATAATTTAAAACAGTGTAAGGGAGGTAATCCAAATACAACATTTTGGTTACTTCGCTTACACTGCTTTTAAATTATGTTTAAAGAAATGCATATTTATAAAGGAAGACCAGTAAAAATATCTGCAAATGTTGCATCTTTTTTTTTACAAAAAAATCCATATGAAAGATTTGACACCATATTTTAAATTCTATTATAAAATAGATTAAGTTAGCACTATGGTAAATTTAAATGGGTAATTATGGTTGCAAATTCCATTGAAAATTTGAATTGAGATTATGACCATATCTTGAGGGAAAGAATTTTTTGGGGGGAAAAGGGGGGGGGGGGGGGGGGTCAATTTTTTCTCATTTCAGATTTCAGAAATTAAAAAGAATTATTCTTCAAATATTTTTTTTTTTTCAAATTTCAAATATTGAAAATTTTCAAGAAATAATCTTTAATTGCACAGTATGGCGCATTAGATTTGTAAAATCTTTGACCACATTTATTTATTTGTTATGCCGAATCTAACCGTGTATTTAGATTTTTAATTTTGGGTCCAGTTTTCAAATTGGTCTACATTAAGGTCCAAAGGGTCCAAAATTAAACTTTGTTTGATTTTAACAAAAATTGAATATATGGGGTTCTTTGATATGCTGAATCTAAACATGTATTTAGATTTTTGATTTTTGGCCCAGTTTTCAAGTTTGTCCAAATTGGGGTCCAAAATTAAACTTTGTTTGATTTCAACAAAAATTGAATATATGGGGTTCTTTGATATGCTGAATCTAACCATTTATTTAGATTTTTTATTTGTGGGCCCCGCTATCAAATTGGTTCATATTGAGGTCAAAAGGGTCCAAAATTAAACTTTGTTTGATTTCATCAAAAATTGAATTATTGGGGTTCTTTGATATTCCAAATCTAACCGTGTATTTAGATTTTTAATCTTGGGTCCCGTTTTTTAAATTGGTCTACATTAAGGTCCAAAGGGTCCAAAATTAAACTTAGTTTTAGTTAGAAACCTATGCTGTGTCAAATATTTAATCACAATCCAAATTCAGAGCTGTATCAAGCTTGAATATTGTGTCCATACTTGCCCCAACTGTTCAGGGTTCGACCTCTGCGGTCGTATCAAGCTGCGCCCAGCGAAGCATTTTATTAAAATTGGAGTTATCTTCCTTTGTCCATGATTATAGTTGAATCAACTACAATCAATGCTTTATACAATGCAATGTTTAATTTTGACTTTCACTGATAAAACACAGATCAAGTTGAATTTGGGTAGTGTCACTTTAACCATTATTGAGTTATGCCCCTTTATAAATTTAAAGATTGCAAAATTTTTAGTTTCTGTTCTCTGACTTTAGTTTGTCTCAACCAAATTTTATAAAACTTATATACAACCGTTCTAGAGTTATGCGTCTTTACAAATAGAAAAATTGCTGAATTTTTAGTTTCTGTTCTCTACTTAAGTTAGCCTCTACCAAATGTTATGAGACTTACACACAATGCTTATTACCACAAAACTCAGCTCAAGTTCAAATTTGGGTAGCGTCACTTTTACCGTTCTTCAGTTATGTCCCTTTATAACTAATATGATATGCAAGCGGGGGCATCATCTATGTCCACATGTGGACACTATCCACATTTATTTTTTCTTTAAATTAATGCATTTTTGAGCTACAAAACTGTAGATGTATGCTAGAAATGGTTGATATCTTTCCAAGTCATTGCACCTAATGAACAAACACTTGAGATGAAAAGTTGTTTTTGTCATATAAAATATGATGCAGTAATCAAGTCAAATAAAGTGATTTCATCAGCCATAAAAATATGTACAAGAATAAGAATACATTTGTACATGTAATTGTAGATGTTATGTGAAGACTGTTCTGGTCAAAACCAAAAAATTACCTTGTCCAGTGAATTTGATTCTGTCAATAGTATTTGTTTTTTTAGCTCACCTGGCCCAAAGGGCCAAGTGAGCTTTTCTCATCACTTGGCGTCCGTCGTCCTGTGTCCGTCGTCCGTAAACTTTTACAAAAATCTTCTCCTCTGAAACTACTGGGCCAAATTTGACCAAACTTGGCCACAATCATCATTGGGGTATCTAGTTTAAAAAATGTGTCCGGTGACCCGGCCAACCAACCAAGATGGCCGCCATGGCTAAAAATAGAACATAGGGGTAAAATGTAGATTTGGCTTATATCTCTGAAACCAAATCATTTAGAGCAAATCTGACATGGGGTAAAATTGTTTATCAGGTCAAGATCTATCTGCCCTGAAATTTTCAGATGAATCTGACATCCCGTTGTTGGGTTGCTGCCCCTGAATTGGTAATTTTAAGGAAATTTTGCCGTTTTTGGTTATTATCTTGAATATTATTATAGATAGAATAAACTGTAAACAGCAATAATGTTCAGCAAAGTAAGATCTACAAATAAGTCAACTTGACCAAAATGGTCAGTTGACACTTTAAGGAGTTATTGCCCTTTATAGTCAATTTTTTACAATTTTCATAAATTTTGTAAATTTTTGTAAATTTTTACAAAATAATTTCCACTGTAACTACTGGGCCAAGTTCATTATAGATTGAGATAATTGTAAGCAGCAAGAATGTTCAGTAAAGTAAGATCTACAAACACATCACCATCACCAAAACACAATTTTGTCATGAATCCATCTGTGTCCTTTGTTTAATATGCACATAGACCAAGGTGAGCGACACAGGCTCTTTAGAGCCTCTAGTTTTAAATTTTGCTTATGTGTCAAAAAGTGATGATTGTATTTTTTTGTTTTTTTATGCAAGATGTGGTTTTTCACGTAAGATATGTACATGTACCTATGGGCTATGTATGACATTGATTTGGGAAATGATATGAATAAAAGAAGTTGTGTGTTGTACCGTAATCTACATATTGAGTGCCCCTAATTAACTTTAAATATTTAATATCAAAGAGACTTGTATGTTCATTGAAATTATTACCATGATCATGATTGCAATATCAAAATAAGATGTGGTACGTATGCCAATGAGTATGAAGTTGTGTCAGTCCAAAACAAATTTTGCATTGGAATAATGTTTCAGTTGTTTGCCATATTTTAAGTGTTTAAAAGTTAATAAACAGAGTACAAACCAGTCTATTCCTACTTGTACCAATTTTTACTAGTCGTGATTTCATTGGCCTTGATTTTGGGTGTTTAATGTTTGTTCCATATATATCCATGTTACATGTAATCTCTATAGATAAGTCTTGATTAAATTTCCATCAATCAGACTTTAAAAGTTGTTTGAATATCTTGATGATCTTTATAGATATAATTGAACACATGCAGCTGTTTTACATGTAGTGTGAAATTATTGACTTTTGATGAATAACGTAATTATATTATATTATAATCTATGATGCAAGTATTGACCAAATTTCATATTCCAGTTAATAAGTGTTAGATTTTTCAGATCAGCATCTCGTTTAAGATTTAAAAAAAAAACTAATCTTGCATTTGCCCCTGGTTCAAAATCCCATGCAAAAGTTCTTTGAGAGTCTACAGGTATATATGATGAAATTGTTGCAAGGAAAGTGACCGTCCAAATTAAATTGACCACCAATATTTGCGATGACCGTGTACTAAGCGAATACCAATCAGTCTAAATTAAACTTATTTATGTAACAGTCTTACATGTTTGTTAGTCTGATTTGAAAATAATCCCTTTATTTTGATCAATAATTCTTGTTGATCCCACTTGTTGTTATTTTAATAGTATAATTGAGGTTTAAAATGTGGCAATATGTTTACAAAGTGGTATTTATAAGCTACTTTTCTCGCAACTACTTCCAGACTGGATTTGGTAACAGGACATGGACAATTGTTAATACTCACTGAGTAATAATACTGTATATTCTGAATGTTATATATACATTTCTAGTTGGAAGTTTAATCTTTGCAATATTTAATTCTTCAGTAATATATTTTTAAATCATTGGTGCTGCATGTACATATAGTTATATTAATATTAATTGACATGGCCAATTGATTTGACAAACAAACAAAATTTGAAAAATATTAGATCTATATATTTAATTCAATGAATACAACACTTTAAATCAGTGAAAGAGAAGTTTTCTTTATCTGTTTTATAATGACAATAAGTGTATGACAGTGATATGAAAGCATTTATTTATATGCTTTATTAGACATTATAATTTTATTGCTTGTTATATTTTACATAATCATGTAAGTAAAAAGGCGCATAGTCATAAAATTTTAAAAAAAAGGTTATATAAGGCCTATTATAGCTTTCTACATACTATGGGTATTACTCAGTGTTGAAAGTCATATTGTGACCCGTAGTTGTTTTAACATTCTTGTTTTTTGGTCTTTTGGTGGAAACACGTAGCTGTCTCATTCAGGTAATCATACCACGTCTCCTTGTTTGCATATCGAGAGTTCTGAGAAGTAAATTGGCATTAGCCGGCTAAGTTAAGCAGTGCTATCATCACATTGATCTTTTTAGTCCCCTACCGACGTAGTCGAAGGGGACTTTAGGTTTACACTCTGTCTGTCTGTCTGTCCTTCCGTCAGTCCGGCAAATCAGTTTTCAACACTTTTTTCTTCGTGCTTGAAGATATGTAATATTTGGTATAGTGTTTTAACATGACAAGTTACAGATCAAGTTCGAATTTTGTTCCGGTCTGATGATTTTGTGCAGAGTTATGGTCCTTGGACTAAGAAAATTCACTTAAATAATCAGTTTTCCATACTTTTTTTCGTCATGCTTGAAGATATTGATTTGATATTTGTTATATAGTTTACACCATGACCAGTTATAGATCAAGTTAGCATTTTGTTCCAGTACAATGAATTTTTAACCGGTAGGGGACTATGTATTGCCATGCAATACTCTCAGAATGCTTGTTCTCATTTAAGACCAGATGGATAACAAATACTGGTTTTAATATTTCTGGAACATGTTTGTTCCAATGTATTAGAGTAGAGAATGGAAACAGGGAATGTGTCAAAGAGACAACAACCCGACCAAAGAGATGAAAACAGACCAATGCCACCAGTGGGTCTTTAAAGCAGTGAGAAAACCCTGCTAAGAAATTTTATACATGTGATAGGTCTTTGTTAATTGACATGGGTCATATCATAGCTGATTTCTGTAATCAAAATAATTATACTTTGTACTATGTACATGTAGGTGACAGTGCTTAAGAATCTAAAAAATCTTAATTCAATTTTTATTCTGAAAATAAGATGAATAGAGATTGGGTAAGGAAACCAGCTAATGCATTTAATTAAATTTTATCTATGTTTACAGGTGGTGCTGGAGGTAAAGGCACATGGGGTGCACCAGGGGATGAATTATTTGAGGATGGTAGTTGCAGGGATGCAAAAGATCCTAACTACGACTCAGATAGTCAGGTAAACACGCATATATAATTGTAATTTTTTTGAATCATTGAAAAAGTTAAGTTAATACCAATTAGATAGGGTATTTAAAAAAAAAAACACTTAATGAACATATAATACCAGCAGAGACTGTTAATTTTCCCTCACATGTGGTATTTAAATGTGCATTTTGTCAACAAAGGTTATATTCATTGAGAAACACCCATGTGAATAATTTTACATGTAAACTTGATAGGTACTCTTACTCGAAGATTATGTAATAGTTAAGTTATATTTGATTAAAAATACTATTCAAACAGAAAATAGTTATTTACACAAAGGTCAATCATGTGACAGTATTGACTGAATATGTCTGGATTTATAATATGTACATTGAACGAAAGCCTTGACACATTTGAGAAAATATTGATCATCTTATTTATGTTTTATTTTTGGTACATGGGTTATTTTCTCAATCAATTCCAACATCATAGAACAAAGCATCTAAAAGTAGGTAATGAAAGCAAAAAGCCAAATAAAGGTAGTAAAAAGTAGAAAAGTAGAATACTGGTGGGTGCAGTTGTTTACACTACAGAACTTGCTATGATAATTTGACTAATTAGTAAACATTACAGACTCGAGTCTTTAAAATACTGAAAAATATACTCTTGCACAATGCATTTATACAGGTGTACATAAATTAAATGAACAAGAGGTTTTCTAAATGTTTTGCAGTCATAAACATAGTGAAAATTAGGCACACACGAACATAAACTGATACACAATTAATATATTCACTAATGGAAAGAGTTACATATAGCAAAGTCAATAACTGTTCTGTGGTAATATCATTTTCTTCAAAAATATGCCATGTTTTAGTACAAAACTTACATTTCACAATTTTTTTACTACTGTAAATTCAGAAATATTTGCAATGTTTTTATTGTTGCAAAAATTGCAGCAGGATAGGATTTGCAAAAATTGAATATTCAATTTTTAAATTTTGATAGCATGTTGTTTGAATGCAGCATTTCTTACTTTATTCTCACACTTAAGTTCACAAATGGCAATAATAAATGCACACAGAAATTTTGGAATTCAAAGTATTTTGAAGAGAATTTTGTGTTTTAGGATGAATATGTTGTTGATTCTGTTGAACCTGAGATGACACAAGAGGAGTTTATGAAGGTTGTAGAACCAGTGTTATTAGAATATTTTGAACATGGCGACACTTTTGAAGTGGAGGTAAAACTCTTTCATTAGTTAATAGTTTTTACTGTTCTGAACATGCTAAATTTTTAATATTTGTAGAATAGATTTATGAGGCACATTAACATATCTTCTGGATGTTGCTCTTGCCATTAACGGCATTTAGGATAAAGTTTCTTTAAAATGTTTTTTTTTGAGAGGGGAGGAGGGTTGGAGAGTTAAGAAGCTCATATTGTCACCACTATGTCCTGCATTCATTTGTCCATCAAACAAATGTTTCCTAGATTACAATGCCATGGCAGTTTGCTTTAACTGACACTTTTTGACTCAGGTAATGTCACTTGTTTTCAGAGGTTAATCAATTAAATTTTGTACAGTAACAGATATTCATGTTGTTGTATTAGTTGCTTATAAGTAGTTTATTATGTATCTTAAAAGAATATTTTAAAAATATCTATTGCAGCAAACATTGAGGGACCATGTTGGTGTTAAAGAAAAAAGGGCAAAAGTTTTAGAGCTGGCAGTTAACTTGGCATTAGACCGTAAGGCAACACAACGAGAAATGACATCTGTTCTGATTTCTGATCTCTATGGAAAATTTCTCTTACAAAAAGACATCAGTCTTGGATTTGATGATATGTTAAATAATTTAGCAGATCTGACCATTGATGCACCAGATGCCCCTCAGGTATGTGTACAATGTCTACAATGTCAAGGGGTGGACATGGGTTAAGGTATAACTCATTTGAATTCAGCAGTGTTTTTGTAATATGTAGTTTTATCAATGTTTTTAAGCATTCATGTGAAACAGATTTAAAATAATGTGTTACTTAAAAGCTTAGAACTTGCATATGAAAACCAGTTTACATAAACATACCAGTGGTTTCTAAGAGTTCTGTCCCTTTACTTAGGTCTGACTCTTTTTATGTCTTCATTAAATGTGAAAGTAAATTGATGTCAAAATTTATTTCTAAATATTTCCATATGTGAATATGTTAACCTTATAAATAAGGCTACCAACGCAATATTGTAACAATCTGGGAATATTATATTCTTACAGAGGGTCTGTAAACTGTATCAATTGCAGTTCATGTCAGTTTTTTTTGGTAAACAATTTAATAGATGACCATGATATTTTACTTGTCCAAAAGAAAAACCACTTGTCTAAATTTTGAACTCACGAGAATTCTAAACTGCCATTTATGGACCTTAGGATACAAAATCATTTCATCATGTTCTGGTTTTCATTTTTCCAAAATATTTTGCCAAATGCATCAATTAAAAACAATTCCCTTATTAACCTACAATTCTAAACTTTATTTCAAGTGTGTAGCATAAGGTAATTAGCAATTTAAATAAAATGGTTTGCAATAATTTACTTGTCAGGTTATAAGATTGACATTGGGTACTTCTACAATATTATGCATCCCTCCTTCTTCTTTTAAGCCCAAAAGTAATTCAGACATGTCACCTCTTGAGGCCGTTTTAACCTTCTGAATTTAAACACATGTTAAGAGGTTCATAAAACTATCTTACTTTGATATAAGTGTTTTGTTCAGGTTTATTTGGACCTTATTTCAAGACAAATTATTCTTAGCATCATGATCATCTTTTTTGTTTCTTTTTTAGATAATGGGACAGTTCATTGCAAGAGCTGTTGCAGATGACTGCCTTGCACCAAAATTCATAAGCAGTTACAAAGGCAAAGTGGAGTGTCCTCACAAACAGTCAGCCCTTGATAAAGCTGAACTGTTGTTGAGTCGAAAACATGGCATTGTTCGACTTGACAATATTTGGGGAACCGGAGGAGGAATCCGTCCAGTAAAATTTTTAATAAAGCAGGTAAGGTGTAATTAATTTAAATACTGGTCAAATGTTTTTTTCAATTTGGACAGACTTAAAATGTTTCTGTTTGCAATAGCCTGACTAATGGCTTGAATGTATGAATGTGTTTTTTATATATTTTTTTTAAACATTAATGGGAAAAAAATCAGTATTGAAAGATAGAAATAAAGATCATCATATTTTTTTAATTTGATTGGTCTTTTTTTTGTGTCAGTTATTTTGTTGCCAAATTTTTAATTAAAAAAAAATTTTGGTATAACAGAAGAGGTTTTGTATGTAAAATAACTTCAATACCACTTATTAACCACTCTGCTTATGCCTCTACACTCAAGCTAGCAAAATATTAGTTGCTTTGACCAATTACGTATATCATTCTTTCTCTTGCTTAGTCACTGTTATTGCTCTTCCCTGAACTTATCTGTGCTCAGAAAAAACTATAAAGACAGGGACTTGTATGTATGGAAAAACTATAAAGACAGGGACTTGTATGTATGGAAAAACTATAAAGACAGGGACTTGTATGTATGGTAAAAACTATAAAGACAGGGACTTGTATGTATGGAAAAAATATAAAGACGGGGACTTGTATGTATGGTAAAAACTATAAAGACAGGGACTTGTATGTATGGTAAAAACTATAAAGACAGGGACCTGTATGTATGGTAAAAACTATAAAGACAGGGACTTGTATGTATGGTAAAAACTTTAAAGACAGGGACTTGTATGTATGGAAAAACTATAAAGACAGGGACTTGTATGTATGGTAAAAACTATAAAGACAGGGACTTGTATGTATGGTAAAAACTATAAAGACAGGGACTTGTATGTATGGAAAAACTATAAAGACAGGGGCTTGTATGTATGGTAAAAAGTTGGTACTAAACACAAACAAAATTATAATGTCGAACTTAATTGTATTTCAGATGGTGTTATTATTGAAAGAGCTACTGTCTTCAGGGGATATTCCTGAAGCAACTAGATGTCTTCAAGACTTAGAAGTGCCTCATTTTCACCATGAATTAGTATATGAGGTAGGTATTTAAGGGAGATCTGGTGCAAAATTACATTACATTATAATTTTCAAATATAATCCCCAGGTAAAAGACAGGAATATAAAAAAAAATCTGTAAAAGACCGCATGTTACCAAACATTGAGAAGATATATTTATAACACCTAAGAATGATGGCAACTATTAAGGGGTAAATAAAAACTTAAAACTGGGAGGTGAATTCTATTGCAGTGCATTACAAGCACAACAGGACTTTTCCCTATAACGAAGCAATATCTGGTACATGCCTAACAGGCAAATAGATATAAGAAGATGTGGTATGAGTGCCAATGAGACAACTCTCCATCCAAGTAAAAATTTATAAAAGTAAACCATTATAGGTCATAGTACGGTCTTCAACATGGAGCCTTCGCTCACACCGAACAGTAAGCTATAAAGGGCCCCAAAAAATTACTAGTGTAAAACCATTCAAACGGGAAAACCAACGGTCTAATCTATATAAAAAACGAGAAACGAGAAACACTTATGAACCACATCAACAAACGACAACTACTGAACATCAGAATCCTGACTTAGGACAGGTGCAAACAAATGCAGCGGGTTTAAACGTTTTAATGGTACCAAACCTTCACCATTTTTTCTGAAACAATAGTGTAACATCACAACATAGAAAGACACACTATAAAATATCAACTGAAAGTTCATTTTACCTTTTAATATCACACTTGTGTGGATCATTGATTATGTTAAGTTTATATAATACATGTATTAAAACTTTATTTTAAAGACTTCCAACATAATTTCCTGATCAGAAAAGCAGGCAAAACATTTTAAAAAGTTGGGTTTTTCTTTTGATTATAATTGATAAGTAAATGGCAAGAGTCCTTAGATTTCTTTTTATTTTGAAATATGACAGATGACAGATGACAGGAGTCAAACAGACAAACAGATTAAAGAATCCATCTTGTCCAATATTGATATAGTTTATTATATTTTTAGGCAACAGTTATGATACTAGAAGATTCCACTGAAAGGGCAGCTCATAGAATGTGTGATTTACTAAAGTCATTGGCACAAAGTGTGATTATCACACCAGAACAAATGGCACAGGTCAGTATCAACAGTCATTGAGAAAGCGTCTAGAATTGGTCTGCTGCACACTTATTCTTTGTAAAGGATAATTTTTATTATCAGTATGGGTTCAACAAGACAAGGTCCTCAAGTGGACGATTTAATTTTGTTTGATCAATTAAGAAATAAGGAGATATGGTATTGATATTACAAATGAGACAACTATCCACCATAGTGTGGCTGGCTTGATAGTTTTCCAAGCTTCATCACTACTTTTGAGATATGCAAACTACAGTGCATTGATCATAACATTATATACATCCTATCCATGAACATTTCAAGAAATTTAGCAGTGAAATATATGCTCAGATATTCAATATGATGTTATACTTGTCAAGAAAATTAAGTGTGCAAGGTGCAGGAATCTTGTATCTGTTGTAAAAATACAACAATGCCACTGTTTAAAGTAATCTTTTAAATTGGAGTTGTCTTCCTTTGTCCATAATTTTAGTTGATATAAAAATAAGGAGAAAAGGTATGATTGCCAATGAGAGAACTATCCACCGAAGTAGATGTAAGCATTTATAGGCAACTGTACGGCCTTCAACTACAAAATAACCCATACCGTATAGTAGGCTATAAAAAGCCCTGACATGAAAAATATGAAACAATTCAACTGAAAAAACTAACCGCCTCATTTATAACAAAACAATTTACAAAAAACAACCAACGACAACCACTGAATTACAGGCTCCTGACTTGGGACAGGCGCATAAAGAATGTGGTGGGGTTAAACATGTTTGTGAGCACTCAACCCTCCCCTTTACCTGGGACAGTGGTGTTACAGCACATCTTAAGAACAGACTATAAAAATCAGTTGAAAATGGCTTAACTCGTCAGATTGATACAAAGCTGAAAAACATCTTAACAAAAACACAGACCAGAAGTAGAACCGACTACAATCATCATATTACCCCTAATGCTTAATACAATTCAATGTTTAAATTTTAGTTCCCACTTCTCAATTAAAAGAATTTTTACCCTTCAGTAATTTCAAGCACTTTCATATTGTGAATCTGCTGACAAATTTTTTCCATTTCAGGGATTCCGAAGGGTATTTGATTCAATGCCAGACATCTGTTTGGATGTACCTAATGCATATTCTCTGTTGGAGAGATTTGTCACAATGTGTCACAGAGAGAAAGTAGTCAGTTCAGACGTATTCCAAGAACTACCTCTAAGGTAAATTAAAAATAATGATGAGAGGCAGCGTTTATTTAGTGATCTAGATGTGTATTCATAAAATGCTTGCAAACGGCATCAATTTAAAAAAAATTGTAAGTGGTTCCACAGAACCATGTGTCTCGCCGGCAATTGCTGATGTCCTTGTAAAATTGTAATAATGACTTAAAAAGTGAGTCCATTTATCAGTAAAAGATAGATTTAAAAAAAAAAGAATTTTTTTCTGAAGAAGCTATTTCATGGTCTAGAAGGTTAGCTTCTGTCCAAGTTTTATAACAATCCAGGAAGGTAAATAAAGTTTAATCGCATACTGTCTATAATTGTTAACTGTAAACAAAAGTTTGCTTCAGACATATCATTAGTCATAAAAAAACCTCTGCCAAAGTTTTTGGAAAATGACGCTATCAGCGGCATGTTTCCGATACCATTGACCAGAACTAACGGAAGTTGATTATGCCTCCGCCTACCGCACTCGGTTTCATATTTACTATTTTACATACTATTACTAACTGGAATCTGCTTGTATTACGCTACACTCGAACAAAGTGTTGTAGTCGGAAGGGAACCAGTTTACATACGTTATTTTATTTACCAAAAAGATATCTTGACCTGTCCATATGTTTTTTGTTATTAATGGTATTTGGAGCTATCCCTTTGTTATATTTTTCATATTTATTCGAGCTTTCACTTTTATGCACATGTCATACAATCGTAAACAATCGGTATGTATACATGATAAATAGATCCGTTTTGTTATGGTGTTGGACTTTTTACCCTCCAATGATCAGCAATCGCTAGACAAAATAGTTCTAAATAATGTCAGCCTTTCATGCCATTTCAACTTTACAATCATTAAAAAAGTAATAATCGGAATCATTTTGATATTCATTGGATAGAAACTGGTCTTTATCCAGATTTACGAAGATTTTAATAATCGGAAATTAGTAATACGGTTATACCCACGCGGTGCGTATGAATCTTTGTTTACAAAGTTATAGCAGCAGAGTCTGTAACTGTATCATTATTAATTAACTACACTGTTATTGTACTTAATATGATGAAAACTGCATATGCAATATAAGATGTCAACTCGGCCAATACAGATTTTTTTTCCGTATTGGCCGAGTTCTGATCCGGCCAAAACAGGATTTCGGAACGTCTCTAGTTTTTAGATCGTAAGTCAGGATAAACTCAAACTGAAAGTAAACAGTTGTTTGTACGACACAGTTTTTATTTACTCACCATAAACAAGCTGAAACGTTCAGTATGGCATATATTTTAGGTTAAAGACGGTCCCATTCATTTGAAAAGCATTTTGAAAGTAGACGATGGAATTATTTCAGGTTTGGGGAACGAGTAAATTATCACAAAGTTCATTTCTTGACGACCTCATAATTTCATCATGTCGATGGTACAAATCGATTTTTACTGTTTACTTTCGCTTCTCATGTTTTGTAAACGGTCTTTTATTTTTAAACCCGAACCAGGCATATGCATTCTGTAATTGCGCAAACCTTCGTTCTTTGGTCAATTGGCTAATGGATAGTTGTATCAATTTCAACTCTTACATTATTTAAAAAAAAATATATTTGCATTACACATGCAATGGCAGTACCTTTCCAATTACTATTTATGTGTTGTGTCTAAATTAAAGTTGTAACACTTTATAGTGACTGGAAAGGGTAGAAAAATTCATCAGATGAGAACAGGCCGAAGATACATGGAAACGGCACCAAATTATTAGATATTGCATCTTATAAAAAGAAACTGAGATTTGGATAGTTCCACTTCAAGGTAAAAATGTTTATCTCTTGTGAAATGAAATAAAAAAATATTGTAACACTGTAGTTAATTAATAAAGATACTATTACATGTATTTCTGTATTGGCCTTATTGTTGGTCCTCGGCCAGCAGTACACCAAGACATGGACCAATAACAAGGACAATACAGAAATACTTACACAATAATATTATAGAATGACAGTATGGTTCAATAGCGGGAATCAGCCCCTCAACTACTTTTTACATAAATATTAACTTCTGGCTTCAACTCCTTGTTCGTCTTGTCTGGAGATCTTGTTGTAGTTCCAGTTAGGCAAGCATTTTAGAGACGTATCCCGTCCATCCTCTCTTGACTTGTAATTTCTGGTGATAGATTTTGCCGCTTGACGTTGTATCCTTTCAAGCTTGTTTTTTTTTGTTACCGTGTAGGGGTCCCATACTATGGCTCCATATTAAATTGTAAGATCCATTCCTAAAGGTCTAGATCATTGTTCTAATCTGACACAAATTTCAATAACTGGAATGCTACCAAAGTTGAATATATGGTGACTTACTAGAACAGCATTATCACTATTGAAATTGTGTTTAATACCATGATTGTTCAATGTCATTAACTTAAATGGAGACAGACATTTGACCTGAAAGGTGGTGTGGGAGTGCAAAATCAAAAACTAACTGACTATGATATATGGTTAAAGAATGAATATCAATTACATGGGTCAACATGGTCAAGGGCAGAGTTGTTATGAAATAACAATATGGCAGAGAAGTGGTTTCAAGTTTCATATAAAGCGACCTGACTGACATGAAATAAAAAATCAAAGGAGTATCCCTATTTGTCTAATCTTCAAGGTGAAATAAAACTAGTAAAACAATATTATACTATTGTCTAAATCTACAGAAATATAATTTGCTTCAAGTAACAGAAATAACTAGGTCACTAGTAACTTATTTAATGAGTATATGTATGTGGGGTATAAGAGCTTGATAACAACAGGCTCTTCAAAATCATTTGGTTTGAAAAGGATACTAGTATAAGTAGTCTATATTCTTGATTTAGAAAAATGTAATTGCAAGACAAAAATCACATTATTTAGAATACTTTAGATCATTCAGGTAGTCTTTATTTATATGTACAAAAGAACAGCCAGTAGTCATTGGATATTGTAGATCATTTAAATAGTCTTGACCTATTTATTAGTACAAAAGAACAGCCAGTAGTCATTGGATATTGTAGATCATTCTGGTAGTCTTGACCTATTTATTTATAGAAAAAAACAGCCAGTAGTCATTGGATACTGTAGATCATTCAGGTAGTCTTGACCTATACATTTGTACTAAAAAAACAGCCAGTTGTCATCTTCACATAACACACACATATACGAATATCAATTATATGCTTACGAGACATGTTGGAATGTTAAACTAATTACGGTATGTGAAAATCAAGACTTGCATAAAAAATATCACAATATTAGAGACAGTAGCGTCATTTTTCCTCAGAGCTTTCAGCTCTTTGATTATATAATTCTATGAAGGTTTGATAAAGTAATTGATGTGTAACAAACTTTAACCCAAGACTGTATCTATATGTTAAATGTACATTTATCAGTAAAATATCGAAAAATGAAAATAAATATTTCCATTTTTTCCCCTGGATACTGTATTTTGGTCATAAATAAGCTTCTGTCCAAATTTCCTAAAATTCCATGAAGTTTTGATAAAGTTATTGATGACTGAAAAATTTTAACCTCAAACTAAATCTGAATGTTAACTGTAAAAATAAACAAGTCCATTTATCAGTAAAATACGGAAAAATGAAAGTAAATATTTCCATTTTTTTTCCTCTGGATACTGTATTTTGGTCATAAGCTTCTGTCCAAATTTCCTAAAATTCCATGAAGCTTTGATAAAGTTATTGATGTCTAAAAAAACTTAAACCACAGACTGAACCTAAATGTTGAAGACGTAAATGTCGCTGCCTCACTGTTATTAATATGAAATATTTCAAACATTTAACCTTTCATCAGGAATTACTTGAATGGAAAATGAAAATATGGCAAATATTCACAAGACAGGAAATTATATAGCAAATTACTGCATTTGATATTCAGTTAAAATAAAATTGAAGGTCAAGATGTACATTTAAAAGAGGACGTTCAAGACAAACTATAAGCATTGATATATAGCAGTATCTCATGCTGTTTTTGATGTCAATAACCAACACTTTTCAAGGATTTCCTAGTGATCCCACATCAAGAGTTTTTATTTTGGAAAATGTAAAGTTTTTTTTATAAAAAGAACAGTTCCACTGTTAAAACACTGAAATTTTCGGTACTTTTGAAAAATTGTTTAAAATTCACTTTATTACATTCACCTTTCAGTTCAAAATTTAGATTTTACATGTAACTGCAATTGCCAAACAATAAAGGATCATAAAGTATCCCAGTAATTTGAATTTTTATGAGATTAAAATTATAACATTTGCTCTTATTTTTGTATAACTGAAATTCAATGAAGTAAATTTTTTTAGTCTAAGTTTTCAAATTTGAAAAAATGTCTTAATTTTAATCTGTTGCATCATTTCAGAGGAAGAAAAAGGTTTGTCTCAGAGGGTGATGGTGGAAGAATAAAACCTCAGGTGTTGTCATAGTAGCCATTGACAGACATTTAACACCTTATCAGCTGTGAAAGTGCTATATTTTACAAAGTGCTACAGTTATAGGAAAATTTCTTTCAATTTTTGCAATTTTACATGACGATTGTTCCAGCATGACGGCAAATGGCTTGATTCCCATATCAATTATGGTGGTAGATGATGAAATAATGTATTAAATTTCTAAAGTGTTTTAATGTGTAGATAATGGATAAAATTAATTATGCCGTATGGTTGATTCATTTATTTCGTACTTTGTAAATTTGATGAATGTGTACATTATAAACCTTTATCTGATTGTTGATACTGTTATTAAAGAATAAAAAGAATATTTTTTGTCATGCACACCAGAAATTGGAAATTTTAACCCATTGGCTTGTATGGGAGTCACTATCTGGAGTTTCGTATATTTTTTAATTGCAAGCATTGTAAAGCATGAAAATGGGTGTACAATTATAAGGTCATGTAAATTTTTTCAATTCTAATATTTTTCGTTTCCGTTCTCTAACTTTAGTTTGCCTCAACCAAATGTTATGAAATTTATACACAATGCTTATTACCACAATTCACAGATCAAGTTTGAATTTTGGTGGTGTCACTTTTACCGTTCTAGAGTGATGCCCCTTTACAAATGGAAAAATTGCTGAAATATTTGTGTCTGTTCTCTAACAAGTTTGCCTCAACCAAATGTTATGAAACTTATAAACAATGCTTATTACCACAAAACTCGGATCAAGTACAAATTTGCAGTTGTTTTTTTTACAGTTCTTGAGTTATGTCCCTTTATAACGTTATATGCAAGTGCGGGCATAATCTGTGTCCCATGGACACATTCCCCATTTATTTTCAACAATTTTGTGCAAAGTGAATACATTTTAATGCGTAAATTAACCATTTTGATATTTTTAGCACAGATGGCCCAAAGGGCAAATATGAATTATTGCCATCACTTGTCATCTGTCATTGCCAGTCTGGTGAACAGTAAAAAAATCTAATCCAAGCTTGATTGGTAATCTTTTTGGTGTTTAGTTATAAATTTGTTCCTGCTGTTCCCATTATCAAGTGATATGGCTGATTTAGTGTCTTGTCTGCGAAGAAAGTCGCAGAATACAAGACATAGGGATAACAATCCGGGGACAGCATACACTATTATTATAAAGCTTCATATTTCAGAAGTGAGAAGACCTGGATACTTAATATCATGTAGGCAGATACCTTATGTAACAAAGTTTCTGTCTATCATATGTCCATTGTCATTGTTCTTAAAAATATAAGAAGATGTGGTATGATTGCTAATGAGACAACTCTCCACCAAAGATCAAATGACATAGAAGTTAACAAGTATAGGTCACCCTACAGCCATTAAAAAATTAACAAAACCCATACAGCATAGTCAGCTATAAAAGGCCCCAAAATGACATGAAAAACAATTCAAACAATAAAAATAATACCCTGATTTATATGTATGTACAAAACAATAAATGAAAAACAAATATGATATACAGCAACAAACAGCAACCACTAAATTACAGGTTCCTGACTTGGGACAGGCACATATAGAATGTGGCAGGGTTTAAACATATTTGCTGGCGCCAAACCCTCTTCATAATCTGGGACAGTGGTGTAGCAGTACAAAATAAGAACTATAAAAATCAGTTGAAAAGGGCTCAACTTATCAGATAGATACAAAGCAGAAAAACTAACAAAAACACAGACCAGACGAGGTAGGGAGTTTATACATCCCACAACAAAATAGAAGTACAGATATAAGAGTACTAGCAGTTACTGACAGCTAGTTCAAAGCCAATAATAACTAATAAAATAAATCGTGTATCTAAGACTAAAATATCAATCAGTACATGTGACATCCAACATCCAATGGATTTAGTGTAAGGACATCATTAACAGTCAAAGAAAAACATGGGCTTGTGCAATGCCAAAATATAGGTATTGACGGATCGTAGAACCTTAAATGTGCATATGTATATAACAATAATATTAAGTTTGGTTTTAATTTACTGATAACAAAATCGATATCTATACCAATTACTGTGGATTCATTTATTTTCGTGGGTATCAATTTTCGTGGATTGAGGAAAACTTACAATTTCGTGGATATTTGAATTCGTGGTTTGCCGATTTCTGTGTACAAAGCCTATAGAAAATTTGTAATTCGTTGAACATATGAATTCGTGGTTCACCTGTACCAACGAAACCCACGAAAATTGGTATCCAACAAATAATAATGAATTCACAGTAAGACAATTTTCAAAGATCTGATTACTGTGTTGAATTGGTAACCTTTTAGAACAAGTTAATTTAAAGGATCGACAAGTTTACCCAGATCGTATCTAAATTTCCAAGAATCGGTAAACAACATCTCTGTTAAAATTATGATGTGCTTTTCCGTTTGAAATAAGTTTTCTACAGGCACAGCCAAAATTCCAAATCAAATCTTAGTATCTATGGAAGAATTTAGTAAAGGTTTAAGTAATTTGTGGTAACAAATAAAAACAAGGGCAACTAGAGGCTCTAAAGAGCCTGTGTCGATCACCTTGGTCTATGTGCATATCAAACAAAGGACACTCTCTAACATTGTAGATGAGAATAGACCATGACAAAAATCTCTATTTTGTTGATTTTGTATTACTGAACTTTTAGTCTGTTTAGTTTCTATCTTCTTTAGTTTTTGCTCAAAACACAAAAGAGGGTAAACTAGAGGCTCTCAAGAGCCGGTGTCACTCACCTGTATCTACTGTGGTTTTGGAAATCATGTAAAATAATGTTAAAATCTTAATAAACAGTATTAGATACCCTAATAATGATTGAGGCCAAGTTTGGTTAAATTTGGCCCAGTAGTTAAATTAAAAGCAGGTCATCCCATTGTAGTCTTACAATAGTTACTAAAGACCCCTTATCAATATTTAAATTAGTTTGTAAGTTTTGACCATTTGAAATTGTTTTTTTACAACTTTCACATAGACTTCAATAGTAAACCCCTATGTTCTAATTTTAGCCATGGCGGCCATGTTGGTTGGATGACAGGGTCATCAAGATACCTATTGAAAATTGTGGCTAATTTTAATTCTATTTGGCCCAGTAGATAAAGAGGAGAAGACTTGTAAAAGATTACAAAAATTTACAAAAAATTGTTAAAAATTGACTATAAAGGACAATTACTCCTTAAAGGGTCAATTGACAATTTTGGTAATATTGACTTATTTGTAGATCGTACTTTACTGAACATTATTGCTGTTTACAGTTTATCTCTATCTATAATAATATTTAAGAAAATAACCAAAAACTGCAAAATTTCCTTAAAATTACCGATTCAGGGGCAGCAATCCAACAATGGATTGTCAGATTTGTCTGAAAATTTCAGGGCAGATAGGTCTTAACCTGATGAACAATTTTACCCTGTAAGATTTATTCTAAATGCTTTAGTTCCAGAGATATAAGCCAAAATCTGCATTTTACCCCTTTGTTCTAATTTTAGCCATGTCGGCCATGTTGGTTGGCAGGTGGGGTCATCGAACACAATTTTAAAACTAGATACCCTAATTATGATTGTGGCCAAGTTTAATCAAATTTGGCACAGTAGTTTCAGTGGAGAAGATTTTTGTAAAAGTTAACGGACGACGGACACCAAGTGATGTCGTAAATTTTTGTGTAGAGTTTCCCATGTAAAACTGAAATATCTAAATCTAGGAAAGGACAGTTCTTACCTATATTTGATTTATTTAAAGCAAGTTCCTTTGGGTACATTTGGGAAGTGTATTTAGAAAATTCTTGATTATTTAACAAAAAAGTATGGTAAGAGACCTCATTTTCTTGACTGCTTGAAAAATAAATGGGGAATATGTCCATGGGACACAGATGATGCCCCCGCTTGCATATCATATAAAGTTATAAAGGGACATAACTGATGAACAATAAAAGTGAATAAGTATTGTGTACAAGTTTCATAACATTTGGTTGAGGCAAACTTAAGTTAGAGAACTGAAACGAAAAATTCACTGATTTTTCCGTTTGTAAAGGGGCATTACTCTAGAACAGTAAAAGTGACACCACCAAAATTCAAAGTTGATCTGTGTTTTGTGGTAATAAGCATTGTGTATAAGTTTCATAACATTTGGTTGAGGCAAACTTAAGTAAGAGAACTGAAACCAACTTTGGGACGTACGAACATGGTTAAGTCCGTATCTCGGATACTATAAACAATAGGTCAACTATATTTGGTGTATGGAATAATTGTAAGATGTACATGTCTGACTGGCCAGTTTCATCTGAGCTTGACTTCATTTTCATGGTTTTGTGCACAATTTACTTTTTGTGGTTTTGTCTATTTCTCAGATACTTTAAGCAATAGGGCCTCTATATTTGGTGTATGGAAAGATTGTAAGGTATAAATGTCCAACTAGCAGATTTCATCTGACCTTGACCTCATTTTCATGGTACATTGGACAATGCATTGTTTTTTGTGGTTTTGTCTAGAACTCGGATACTATAAGCAATAGGGGGCACTTCATTGGGTGTATGGAATGGTTGTAAGGTGTACATGTCTGTCTGGCAGGGTTCATATGACCTTGACCTCATTTTCATGGTTCATTGGTCAATGTTAAGTTTTATGGTTTGGTCTGTTTTCCAGATACTACAAGCAATAGGACCACTATATATGGTGTATGGAATGATTTTAAGGTACATGTGGGACTGGCAGGTTTCATCTGACCTTGACCTCATTTGTGTGGTTCAGTGGACAATGTTTACTTTTTGTAGTTTTGTCTTTCTCAGATACTATAATCAATTGGGCCTCTATATTTGGTGTATGGAATGATTGTAAGAGGTACATGTCTTCGTGGCAGGTTTCATCTGACCTTGTCTTCATTTTCATGGTTCAGTGAAAATGTTTACTTTTTGAGAGAAGTGTGCTGAAAAATTAAAAGCTCATTCAACATATTGTAAAATTCAAAGCATCGGCAAACAGGATGTAGGTGTCCCAACATATCCTTAAAGTTCTCACACATTACAACTCCTCACTATCAAGCAGCTGACCAAAGGTAATTCTGTTCAATAGTACTAGAGAAAAGTGTTGGTAACAGGAAGTAGGAGTCTTACAGATCTGGAAAGTGCTCACAAGTTACAGGTATCTGTCAAGCTGCTGAACAAATACAAAGTCATTCTGTTCAGTAATACTGGAGAAAATTGTGACTGAAATATTGTTGGTCCAATGGAAGGACCAGGTGAATGAATGCAATATAGCCCCACTTTTTTCTGATAAAGATCAGTCATATTTAAACATGTTTTAAATTCATCTTCACTTGGGCAAATTTGTACCAAACTTGACTGATAGGAGTCAATGAAGGGAAGGTCATCATTAAAAATAAATGGAGAATGTGTCCATGGGACACAGATGATGCCCCAGCTTGCTTATAACGTTATAAAGGGACATAACTCAAGAACAGTAAAGTGACGACACTCAAATTCGAAATTGATCTGAGTTTTGTGGTAATAAGCATTGTGTAACATTTGGTTGAAGCAAATTCAGCAATTTTTCCATTTGTAAAGGGGCATAACTCTAGAACGGTAAAAGTGATGTCACCCAAATTCAAACTTGATCTGTGTTTTGTGGTAATAAGCATTGTGTTGACACTCATATCTAATATCAGCCAGAAGAGCAATAATGACGAAGGCTCTTTGTAGATATAGCCTCAAATTCCTTCAAAGAAGAAATGTGCATAAGTTCAACCAATTCCTTATGAACTTTATACAGCAACTAAAACTAAACAGTAAACTATTTTAATGCCATTATTAATATGTAAAATAACATTCAATTCAACAAAAAAATTAAATAAAATATAGCAGTAAGGTAAACAATGAAAAAAAGTAAAAATCAAAATAGACAACAATATGGTTTACAGAGGAGTTGCCTTAATTTTTGACCGAAAATATTCATATTGATATTTTCATGGTTAATTAAAATATTGCATTTCATATATTTTCAATAAATAATTGGTCATAATTTTAACCCTTCATAAATGAAAAAGTTTTAATGAAAAAAAGAACTAATATAACCATGTTGACAATAAAACACACAAGACAATTCTGTTAAAACCACTGTAGTTGGTGTGAAGCAATTCCTCCAAAGGTTTACCTCTGGCCATGGAGATATATAACACACTTGTCATATCTACTGAATATATGACAAGGTTTCAAAATCAAAATAAGCGTTATCGTGAAGGCCAGGGCTCCAATAAAATCAGGACTTCTTGCAGCAGCTTGCCTGGCTCCTTAACATTCTGAATTTAGTAAAGGTACATATGTATTTATGGCCCCCTTCGGCCCTTGTTCTACTTAGAATTACTACTTTTCATATTCTACCCCTATAATACAGTGACATTTTATTGCAAATGACTGAAATTAACAGTGAAAAATTGCTAGTTACAGTGATTTTAAACTAGATCCCCATGAATGTACTTTATTTGAAAATATACAATGTAAATGCTGATCGTTTAATTGATAATGAGTATCCCTTTAATAATGCTGTATTATTTGAAAATATTTTGAAAATACTTATTATATTTACCATGTTTACTGTGTATTCATTTATTGAAAAAGAAATGTATCTTCATGAATACTGTATATTCAGAAATGTTTGCACATCACAATTATTGCAATTTTTGAACTATGGACAAACACGTCGGATTGATTATTGCAAGATACTAGAAATGCAGCATACTAATGCTATCAAACTTAAAATGTGAGTTTTAATTTTTGCACAACCTATCTGTCACAATTTTTTCGATAATAAAAACGTAACAAAAATTTCTAAATTTACAGTACTTGATTTTTGTTGTTTGACAAATTCCACATTCTTACCCATAGAAAATTGGTCTTCAGTTGAATATTTAAATGTGTGGTTCACTCATATCCATGAAATCCACAAAAATTCATATCCCATCAATAAAAATGATCCACAGCACTATTTAAACAGATTTATTATATACTTAGTAGTAAATACAGATAAATTGTATGTGTAATACGGTCAACGGCAATTGTGTTGTATCAGCCATCCGTGATGATATCCATATAAGTCACGGTTGCAAAGGCTTTATCACACCTTTAATCTTTACAACGTCACACCATCGATATCAGTCACTGTTGCAAAGGCTTTATCAAACCCCTAACCTGTATAACGTCATTTCACATAAAAAAAACATCTAATTGAAGTACATGTATATAATAAAGTGTATATGATATGGCTTTTTCAATATCACACACCGTATCAACCCTGTGTCTGGGGTTGATAAGGATGTGATATTGAAAAAGCCATATGATATTCTCTATTTACATAAGCTATAAATATAAAACTTAGGCGACTTCCTAGTTTATCATATTCGTTTACCTGCAAGAAAAAACCCATCTTTCTGCTTAATTTGTCTTTGCTAACGGATGTTACTTTATCAATGATTAACAGTATACATGGTCATTTATTTTTGCCTTTGACAGTGTATTCTTACAAGTACAATATATTTTTTCTAGACTGGGTAAAATTGTTATCTATAATCCTTATATTTTTGTTAAAACAGGTATGCTATACAAATATGCAGTAATAAGTTAAATGATGGAACAATTGGCAGATATTTTCTAATTCAATTTTGAGCAAAATTATTTCTTCACAATTGCAACTAAATCAATTCTTAATTGAAAATTTGAGCAAATTATTAAATACTTCTGATCAAAATGGAAATCATTTTTTACCATAAAAATTTAAAATGATGTTATACAATAATTCATGTGGCTTCAATTCATTAGGGTGCCATGTATTTTGAGAAAAAAATGTATGGATTGGTTTAAATACTGTAAATTCAGAAAATTATTGCGAGGTTTTTATTAATGCGAATAATGCGACTGGTTGAGTAACGCAATAATAAGAACTCGCATTCCGAAATCTTATACACATATCTTTATGCAGATGATTCTGAATTCGCATTAATTAATCTCGCATTTTTGTCTCTTCCTCTACAATCGCAATAATAAATGCACGCAATAATTTCTGAATTTACAGTAGTCTAATAAATCATTTATTTACATGAAAATAGTTTTTAGTTTCCATGGTTTCCAGTAGGTTTTTCCAATTCAAACAAAACTAAGATACAGTCGACTCTCGTTATCTCGAAGTCAGGCGGACCAGAGAAATATTTTCGAGATACCTGTAGTTCGACTCAAACGAAAACCAGAAGTTTGAAAGACCAAGGGACACAGCTCTTGCTTAGCTTGGTAAAGCTAAAATAAATCTGTATGAATATGGGTAGGGGATCAATATTCTGGTCTCAGATCGATGTATCTGTATGTTATGGTCTTTTATTATTATAATAATATTTTATGTTTTCGTCTCTTATTTATTTCTTTGCACAGTTACAACTTTTCATGAGTTTTCTTTATCCGAGAGAGTAATTTGCAATCGTTTTAAAGTTGACAAAATTGTTCATTCTCGTATACAAAAGATTTTAGAAAATTTAGATTTCTCTTCATTTTATTTCATTTCAATCTTTTTCTGCTAGAGAAACTTCAAAAAGATTAAAGACGTCGATTGAGCAGTTTTGAGTTGATCACCAACATAAGTCTAATCCCTACTTTATACACAGCCAAGCTCATTCATGTATGATTACAGTTAATTGTTTTTAAAATATTTTAAATAAATTTTCATAAACTATAATAATGTATCACTAATTATTTATCATGGTGATCAAAGATTATCTTAGGTAAACACTCATGGAAAAACAATGTCATAAATCAATACAGTGGTCAGTACCTTAAATTTAATTACACGTGTATTGTCAGATTAACTATTCAATCCATTTAAATCCCAGATGTTTTGACATATATGTGTTAGTTCAAGATAAATAATGACTTTTAAATGCCTTTGTTAACCTTGGGACTGTAAATTTAGTTCGAGTCAACCGAAATTTCGACTCATCAGGAGTCGAAATACATATATTTATATGGAACAAAGTTCGAGACCACGAGAAAACTTTGACTCATCCGAAATTTCAAGTCAACTGAGTTCGAGACAACAAGAGTTAACTGTACTTTATGGTAAAACAGAATCATCAAACAACAGACAATGGGTAATAAAAGTGTTTTCAGCAAAATGGTTTTGTTACATTTACAGGATTAACTGAGTATTTGATTAAAAAAATGAAAATTCTGTGATATGTAATCATATAAATCAACCTTAACAATAACACAAATAATAATGATTACCAGATACATAGTTTAAATTGAAGTATGGGTGCAAAATGGTGGATAAGACTGCATTTAAACATGTTAAAACACCATCACCTTGTTCATAAAACAAGTGTGTGATGCTATGCATAGTCTTAAGAGTTTTTACCACATGAAAACCAAGAACACCACACTTAAAACAAAACTTTTGCTTTGAGAAAACCCTCCAACTGGTAATTAGTGTGGACTGTATGGTATGTGCAGAAAACCATACTGGTTTTGAAATATTTTTGAAAGATAGGATTCTTGAAATAAAAGTTAAACAGTTGTAGAAATGTTGAGAAAATGCTTTCTCCTAAACTTTTGTAAAATGTTTTTTTTAACAAAAACAGTTACATCTGAGATATTTATTATCTTTTTTTATTAGGGGAGGGGATTATATAACACATATAACTACTGTACTGACAACTAAAATAGTTATTGTTCTCACCTTAAAGATTGCCAATTATAATTACTTCAAAATAAACAAGGAGCAAATAATTAATTGATTTGCGACCAAATTTGTTTTGATTTAATGCTTGAAAGGATGCAATGCTCTAAGTTTTGAAGAAAAAAACAGTTCAATGAAGAAGAACAGTTGTCTCAAATACAAACTTTTATAACCCTTTTCTGTTCACAATCGTATCATAAATCATCAAAATGAAAACTATTTATAAATAAACAGAGTCATAATAGAACTAACAATGTTAAAAGGCACCATTTCATAAAAGCTCATGTTAATATAATACTATAAATTCAAGATGACATAAAATTCATTTTTTGCTACATTTTTTTTTGTACTTTTAAAAATTTACTTCAATTTCAATATGTAACTTTTTCCCATGACTTGATTTGTTTTCTCAATTATGTCACTGTCTATGCATCTTTTAACATAACTATACATTTATATTTTCTAGATTTAATTGTAGTTGAATAGTACATGTTTATTTGATCACCTTCAAGAAAAGTTTTAATTCAAAGCCAAAGTATAAAACATAAATATATTAGGAAATTTGTTCTTTACAAATAAATCAAAAGACGAACAATTTTAAGTCATATTTAAACTTTGAGTGGTTTATGTACACTTCTGTAATTGATGCATGGTTCTTGTTTATAGGTTTATGAAAATTTAATCAAATTTATTTTTTTAAAGTGATGCAAACCAACATTTTTTTTAATTTTAGTATCACATACTGATACATATACATGTATGCATTCTTTTTTCCCATAACAGTGGATTCATTATAACTCATGAGATACAAATTTTCGTGAATTTTGTGGATCAAGGTAAACCATGCATTTAAATATTCAACCAAGTACAAATTTTCTTAATACATTTATGCAGACTTTGGCAAAACTATGAAATCAAATATCTACAAAAAAATCATTTTTTCCTTAATTGATGAAAATTGGTATCTACGAAAATTAAATGAATACACAGTATTTGTTTTCATACTCATTTCTTGTTATACACAATACTGAAAGTTCATCATCCAATTTAAATCTCCTACAATGCAACATTACCATATTAACTGCAATGTACTTGTAGTCGACTGTTTTTATTGTCTGTCATTTAATGTTGAGCAATCTGACGAAAAAACCATAATCAATTAGATGAAAAATTAGTTTGAAATTGATTATAATCTATTTGAACATATGTCATAATTTTTTAAAATACAATCAGAAAATGAAAAATAAAAGTTGAGGTTTGTAGTCTTTCTCATTTGTATTAATCACATGAGATTGTCCTTAAAGATTGTAAAAACACAAGAAATATTACCAAAAAAAAATAAAATATAGAAGTTCAATTTACTTTAACATTGACTCCATACCTCAATTTTCATTTCACTCGATTACCAAAATCATACATTAGTCAATTATTAGCATTGTCTAATGTTTAAACATGATAATGCATTGTCCCAAATAATTTACAATACTAAGACCATTGCTATGCAGCAACAACACGATCATCTGTCGTCAATAAGGACAAAATAAAAAATACTTGTGTTTAGGGTTTCCCTACTCACCTTTTTTTTAAAGACTCAAAATGCCTAATCTAAAGTCTTCATTGACACTTTGGGTAGTGAATCATGACAATATTACTGGTGGTCCCAATATATATGTACTCCAGTTAAAAAAATTAAACAAAATAACAAAAATTCCTACCGTCTTTCCCTATTTTTCCAAAAAAGGAAATCCTAAACACACGTTTTAGTATGGCCTTACTAATAACACAGACTTTATTGTAAATTGTACAATGTTATTTTCCAATCTAGAATCAGATGATGAACTTTACATGGTATTTTTATACTAATTGCGCTTAACAATAAGCATGACATTCAGTTGGTCTGTAGTATTGCAATAAAATATCTGATTTGTACATTACAAGATTTGACTACTTTAAAAAATGACAATTTGATTAAAAAACAGGAGATGACGAAACATCTATGACATGATTTTCTCCATTTTCATCTTTTGTGTCGAAAATATCCTCATCACTCCCATTTCCACTATGGTCATTGTTACGATTTTGGTCATTTTTTCTTTTATTGGACAAGTTTGTAGTCTGCTTCTCTCTTGATCTTGACCTTTGTTGACCTTGCTTGTTTTGTTTACCACTGGATTGTTTCTCCAACTGATTCCCTGCAGACTTATTTCCAAATGCCTGGCTATTCCTTGACCTAGTCACTCTTCCTGACTCGCCAATCTGGGGTTTTGTATTTTTTATTTCAGTCTTGTCTTGATTCATTTTCTTTTGTAAAACACCACTAACACTTTTAGAATTAGCAAGCATACCTTCCACAAATGAAAAAGGATCAGAATTTCTATTTTTAGCATCTTTTGCATCATTTTTATTTTTAGCACTAGTTTCATTATCAGTTGAATGACTATGGTCAAATCCTTCACTATCAGCAAATGGGATATCAATATGTTTATCATCTACCTGATTAGGAACTGGTTCTGATATATTTTCAACAGATAGATTAAATTCTGTAGAACATGTAGAAAGAGTGTCTTCAGTAACTTCAATAGGAGAGTCCAATATATGGCACTTTTGTTCTATTTGAGTATGTAAACCAGATGATTTTCCATTATCTACGTCTATAGAGTAATTATCGTCACTCATGCGCCTCTGTCGTGATCCTCCACTAGAAACTTTTAAGTCACTCAAGTTAGGATATAGTTTCATCTGGTCTTTTCTCTTTTGCTCACCTATTACAGAAATAAAATTATTTCACATATAATTACATATCACAATCAGGGCTTCCAAAACGGTCATATATTCCGGACTTGACCGAAACTTTCATAAAAAGACCGGCTGCTCTCAGCCTCAAACGGTCAATTAGAATTGGTGTGCCACATTTTGTTATTCAAGGCATTTACATGAAACGGTCATTTCAATTTTTACCAACTATCGATCGATAAAAATGTCCGTTTGGGGCTTTGGGCATGTCCGTTTGGGCATTTTAGTTTATAATTGTGGCAATCTATTTCACAAAGATATTTCGGTCATAATTGGGTTTAATAAAACAGAAGCAGCATATTTCAGATACTTTGAAGTGTCTCAGTTAGTCTAATCGTCTGGGTACATAAATGTACGGCTTGGTCTTTAGCTTGTGTACATCAATAAAAAGTAGAAAAACACGTTTTCTTTTATTTAAATAACAACAAGCTGTCAAACAATTATCCCTTCAATAAGTTATATTGAAGCCATAAATCATTCACTGATTACAGGTTTGTTACCTTTGATGAGGTGTCCTTAGCTTGTCTTTATCAATAGAATTAATGATGCATAACAATGTACATAAAGGTAATCAGGTAAATGAGGTCAAACATGTAAGCGTGTATGGAACAACATCCTATTTAATTACGCTTTATACGGTAGATATTATTTTAAATGAGCATTCAGTTTAAAAAAGTATCCTGATATTTAAAAGTTATTCTTCAAATAAGGATATTTATAAATGAATAAGTATGATATATATTATTTTATTTAACACTGTACATCGTGTTAAATACTGGGGTACTCTCAAGGGGAAAATTTACTAAAATATATAGGAAAAACACCGAGAATAGCTTCGCTGAGTTGTCCAATAAATAAGGGGGGCGTTCTCTATTCTTGTTTTCATATTAAAAACTGTTTTTATAATTAAAATCATAAAGAATAATATCCAATCATGACAATCTCCGACTGTTATAAAGACTTTGTCTCAAATTGAACTTTACAAATCTGCCATCATGGACAAACGTAAACGTGACGATTCCGATCAAAATTCGAAATCTGCTAAAAATGCTAGAAGCTTTATTCATAAATGGTTACAACTGTTTTTATGGTTAAGATTTGACAGTATGCTAAATGCCATGTTTTGTGACATTTGTCAAAAACATAAACTTAAAAATAACTTTGTAAAGCCTGGTTCGACAAATTTTCGAAAGTCAGCCGTTGTAGAGCATGCTAATAGCAGATGACCACATTCAAGCTCTTAAATTAGAGACAGCTTCCAAAAGTAATCCAATTGTATCAGTATTTGAGGAAGTTCATGAAAAGACTGACAACGCAATGTGCACCTTGTTCCGTAATGCTTACTTTATTGCTAAAGAAAACTTGCCAAAGGACAAATTTCAGTCAATAAATGATTTAACTAAGTTAAATGGTGCCGTGATCACTTCTAAATTATATCAAGAGAACAATGCCTGCTCCGAATTTATTCAGATAATTTCCGATGTTATAGAGAAAGAGGTGATGTCCGACGTAAAGTTAGGTCCCGCCGTGGGAATTATGATCGACGAGTCAACTGATCTGGCTACGCAAAAACATTTAATTTTGTACTTATCATACCTCAAAGCTGGTGAACTGAAAATTAGTTTTACAAAACTTTTGAACTTGTCTTCTGGTACCGCCGTGTCAATTACTGCACATATAATTGCCTATTTAAAGTCATTTGGTGTAGACTTGTCTAAAATATTCGGCATTATTTATCAACTGAGTATGTTTTTATTTATTCCTTATTTTCTAAATCAGGTTGGGAAATTGTACAAAGAAAAATGTTATCACTGTTCAGTAGATTTTACACGGTTTAAAACAATATCCTTCATTGGGCCTCCTCAATGTTATCTATAAATACCGCATCAGTTGTATAAGTCACGTGGTCATGTAATCAATACACAAAAAGAAAAGTATCACGTGTATTGATGATCAAGTTGTACTGCAATTAAAGCCATAAATCAACAGTTTCAAATAAGATGGCCTTAATTAATTTACAAAGTGTTAAGTACTCACAGAGAGAAGATAGATTATATAAACAGAAACAAAAACATGAGAACAGTCAGGTACTGAAGCTGATTGATGCAATGATGGTTACTGTATTACGATACACAGAAAAATGACACAATACCGAGGATAATATTTTATTTATTTTTAGAATGAAGAAAACAAAACAGTTATAAATAATTTTATTGCATATAACACTACTAATTATTTAGACACATATATCAATTTATGCATCCTCTCAGTTACATTTAAGTATCCAGCTGATCATTGACCGTCAAAAATATTTCTTTGAAAAATGTCCGGCTGTCGTCAGGAAATTTTGGAAGCCCTGATCACAATATATAATGTCATTTTTTAGATTAACCCTTCAAGAAAAAGAGAATAGCTTTATAATTACTTTTTTCCCCAAAACTAGCATCTGTAAAATGCCGCACATATTGAAATCTGGCAGAATAATACTGAAAGAAGAATTCCCCCTGAAAAACATCTTTCTAAAGGAATGAATATTGAAGTATTGAGATATGTTGCATGACTTATACTTTTAAAAGAAACCTCCATTTTTGTGAAACATTTATGACTTGTTATAATTATAATATGAGGGTATAGTTTGTTTTTCATGGTGACAAACAGAACAATGTTGATATCACTCACATTACAGTTCTATGTTGACATCTTAGTAGGTACAATAGCCTGGAAAAGGGCTATCTTGAGAATTGAAAGGTCAGTTTATCACATTCACTCGAAACAAGTTGATCTATCTGGCTGCCCAAATTTTAGACATTATATTGTTAAAACATGACCTGATTGAATTATTGACACATAATTGTGCATTCATCACACTATTATAAAGGCTACACTCAATTATTCCTTAATAGCTTATTCAAAATTAAAAGTGACTTGTACCCCAAATACATAGATTGATCAACCATTGTTTTGAAATTTTACTTAATAGCAGTTTTTTACTTGAAATTGTATATCATAGAAAACAAATCTTCATATAACAGAAATGATTAACTTGGTTACTTTCCAGCTGCCTTATCTACATCCATGTCTAATCTCCAACAATTTATAGGCTGCCAAAAATATTTCTTAACAGTTAAATCTAAGAACTCTTACGTTTGGATCTGGCAGCAGCCTCTTCATTCAGCAATCGACTTGTAGATGGCAGGGTACATTCAGGTGATGTAGGACTAGGGGGGAGAGGTTTCATTGCACGTTTTTTCTCCATCTTTCGGTGAAGCTGTAGCTCCATTTTTTCCAGCTCTGACTGTAACTCAAGTGCCTCTTGGTCAGACTCCATCACTCCATATGTAAGACACTTGGGGAAGAAAATGATAAAATTATCGAATAATTTAAACACTTTAAATCTATTATAGACAATGTTTCATTTACCTAAAGGTCTCCAAAAACTCTAATCATTATTTAAAAAGCTCAATAGTACAGATAGTTGATAAATCCTCTATTCTAAATAAAACAGTGAATGTTTTGTCCTTTAATCTGATTTTTAGATAATCTTCTATACATTTATTTCCCTTGTCTGAGGGAGATATAAAGATTTGTTCACTCCAGAAAATTCATATTTTCCAAGTCTTTGCCCGAGGGAAATATGACTTTTCGAGGGTGAACAAATCTTTATATCTCCGTAAGCCTAGGGAAATTAATGTTTTATTCCACTGCCTATATTTCTTTGATTTTCTGAACATAAAACATTAATTTACATACAATGTTTCTTAATCGCTTGCTTTTATAACTAGACACAACAACAAAAACATTGATTCAACAAAACCGATCAAAAGTTAATTATTTTTTCTAGTATGACAAGTTTTTTTCTGAATTGATTGAATTTGTCTGAAATAATTTTGGACACAATAATGACTATTCTATCGCTATTTAAAACAAGAATGTGTCCATAGTACACGGATGCCACACTCGCACTATCATTTTCTATGTTGAGTGGACAGTGAAATTGGTGTCAAAACTCTAATTTGGCATTAAAATTAGAAAGATCATATCATCAGAAACATGTGTACTAAGTTTGATGTTGATTGGACTTCAACTTCATCAAAAACTACCTTGACCAAAAACTTTAACGGGACAGACGGACGGACGAACGAACAGAAGAAAGAACAGACCGAAAAACATAATGTCCCTAGGTGGGGCATAAAAATGTTCAAAACGTTGTGTTCATTAACTGTGCGTAACGTCACATGAGGTAGTCCTAATCTTCAGAAGGAAATATGATGCTCAGAGGGGAATATGAAGTTTTGTTCAAATTCATGTGTGATAGTATCAACCAATCAAATGTTGATTTCGCTATCAATATTTTCATAGTGAAATAATATAAAATATTGGACAATTTTTCAAAGACCACAAAAAACAGTTTTTTTAACATATTTTTCTGTGTTGTTACAAAAAATAAATCTGAAAGAGGCAATAAACTTGAGAAGATATGAGCAGTTTCTTGCCCCTTGTAAAATCACAAATAATCATAAAATCAAATAACATCCCTTTGAAGATATCTAGACCCAGTGTTCCAGCTAGGATTTGAAAATAGAGGGGCGTGTTATTAAAAAAGGGCACTTTAGCGCGTTCTCACTGAAAAAAATCAAATACTTAATATTACCACATAATGACATATTTTTAGCAAGCATGTAGCTAAGTTAAATACTCTATACTATCATATACAAGTTTAAAAATCATTTATTTAGAACATATAAGTTAAAATCAAACTGAGATTAGTCATTACTATATTCATTTCTCTTTCAGAACTACAGATTTTTTCAAAGAAGAGTTCAAATGCAAATAAATATTAAACAACATTGACAAGTCTTCTGTTTTTCTCTTTGAAGAAGGTTGTCACACATTGATCAAGAATTTTTTCAAATTTAGTTTCATCACAGTTTAATTTTACAGTTAATATTTTTGTTAATGTCTGTGTTTTCAAGTTTGCCCTGTGACTTGTCTTTATCAATTTGACCTGAGAGAATATTCTCTCCACCTCTGCTGTACTGAGTGGTTGTATTATTGCAACACTGAATAGTTTTGCAACAAGAGGGTACATAGATAATAGGTTTTTATCCTTATGACAAGGTGAATGAAATAGCTCTAGCAGACTAGGCAAGGAACGATCTGTAAGTTCTGCTGATGACACAAGAGCTATAAAGTCCTGCCATTGAATAAGGAGAGTTTCAGGGTCCATGTCAAATGTATTTGCCAGAGCTTCTATCTCTGTATAACCATACATTGTTTCAATGTTGTCTGTTCCTGTTAGGTCTGAAATGGCCAACTGATCGATTGTGTCAGCATCCATAAATCTAACTGTTATATTTTCAATTAATCCATTGAGAAAGCACTATCTGACTTTAGTGTCAAAATCTACTGTATATTTCATGTTGAGTGTATCTAATAATATCAATAAGTTTGTCAAAACGGATTTCAATAAGAAAATTGATACAAAAATTGGACTTTCGAGAGCTCCGTAATCGGCACAATAATAAATTAATTCAACTTTGAAAGTTTATTATCAATTCAACAAGCATCTCCGTATATTTCATGTTGAGCGTATCTAATAATATCAATATTAAAGTTAGTCAAAACGGATTTCAATTCAAGAAAAATGATATAAAAATCGGACTTTCGAGTGCTCCGTAATCAGCGGAATTTACAATAGAAGAACAATTGCGATATCTGATAGAAACCTTAATTTCTTCTTCTCGATTTTTCATAAAAGTAAAGAATTAAATTATTTTTTTACCTTTGATGGTCATTATTCTTGAAAAAAAGATGTAATAGACTGGTAAGTCTTTGATATTTTCTTCTTGTCATTTTCGAGTTGGTCAATTTTTCTTTTTTTCGTCTGCATTTTGCGTGTTGACGATTTACAATATACTATTGGAATGATTCTTTTTTAATGACTGTTATTTTATAAATAACAAATGCAATAGAAATGAACATCGTTCACATTTATTTTATAAATTCTATTTTGCATCGCAGGTGTTAAAAAATCAATTCATTTAACTTGGATGTTTTGGTGCTTCAGGGCAAAGGGATTAGACAGGGTCGTAAATTTCACCTGATTAAGTAATTGACTCTAATCAAATAGGTGATTATATACAGGAAGTGTCAACAATTTTAATCTGTTGTCTTAATGAAGTGTGTGTATAAAGAACTCAACAAAATGGTGACGATATGAGGAAAAAAGATCGTTTTTTTAACTTTTTTCAAAAGGGCACAGAGGGGCGCATCAGAAGGGCAGAGGGGGGCAAAATATCGGGGGCGGGGCGCGGCGCCCCTCCATTTCATGCTAGCTGGAACACTGTAGACCTGTGTCAGATATTTGAAGAGAGGAGGTAAGATTGGGTCACTGCAGTAGTATCAACCAATACATTTCAAAATTTAATACCTGTAGTTGTGTTTGTATACTTTCAGCCATTTTCTGAACACCAGCTGCCTCTGACGTCTTCTCTGCAGTTCCAAGTAATTCACGTCTAAAACAACAATGTCATTAAATATATTTAACTAAAACGACTTCCTGCATGCCAATTTATGTTACACTATTTCTTTAAATCATCAAATCATGATCAGCAGTTGACCCATTTGCAAAATCAGCCCCACCTCCCCCCAAAACAATTTCAATCAATTCTTTTAAAAGTTATTGGGCTTAACTCTTTTCTATCCTGGGTTGGTTTATAATCATTTGGTGCAAGTCCTTGGCTTAGACCTGGCCAGAAAAAATTTCAACCTCTGGAATTTCTCCTTGTTTTTTAACCTTCATTCAAACCATAGCAAAAAAATCTCACAATTCTAAAGAATCTTTACAGTCTACTTCACTTACTCAAATGTTGACAACAAATCACCGAGTGCCCCTGAATCGTAGTCTATTGTACAAGATTTAGCACATTTATATTCTGTATGTGTAGTATCACCAAGGTTTATCACAGTCACTGGTACAGCAGCATATTTCTTATCTCTGAAATCAAATGGAATGTCAGAAACAGTAGCTGACTAACTTAAATACTGTAAATTCACAAATTATTGCATTCATTTATTATTGATTTTTGAAGAATGGGCAAAAATGCGAGATTAATTTTTGCGATTTCAGAAAAAAACTGCATACAGATATATGTATCAGATATCAGAATGTGAGTTCTTATTATTGCCATACTCAACCAGTCGCATTATTCACATTAATAAAAACCTCGCAATAATTTCTGAATTTACAGTATTGGTTAATGTGCTTTGCATTTAAGTATACAGTAATAAAGATGGTTGGGTATGGACAGCACTAGAACCTTTATTGCAAGACAGTGTGAATGATATGCTACTTTATTGCTGTTTTACGAAATTTTCCTTTAATCTTACTGACTGATAATTTCCTTTCTCAGCACAGTAGAGTGATATGAAAAATTATCCCTAGAAACTAAGGGTGCATGTGTCATTGTCAATGTAAACATCAACGTGGTCATAGGCAAAATAGCGATAAACAGATTATCATTGGTCATCTCAACTCGATTGCTTTTCTCACTTTCGCCGTACCGGCTCAAGTGAGAAAATCAAACTCGTTGAGATGACCAACGATAATCTATAAGTACATCATTATACTTTCTGTAAAAATGTTCTTTGATAATGAAAGTTCAATATTTTGGCATAGATTTAAAATAAATCATATTTGGAAAAGCATTCAATTGCCTGATAGTCAATACAGCTATTGTTAATAATATGTTTTTGCTCCCACAAGCTGGCAAAGCTTAGTGTAATTGTTGTGTGCACCTTCAAAGAGCTGTATGAAAGGAATAATTGATTGCAATACACTCTGAAGTACAAATTTTAAAATTGTTTGATTGGAACAAAAATGCTACTTGAATTTTTTTAAGAATTATTCTTGGGTTTAATCATTCAGTTCTAATAATGGATATTTGTAGATATTTATACTGTACCGGCTCAAGTGAGAAAATCAAACTCATTGAGATGACCAACGATAATCTATAAGTACATCATCATACTTTCTGTAAAAATGTTCTTTGATAATGAAAGTTCAATATTTTGGCATAGATTTAAAATAAATCATATTTGGAAAAGCATTCAATTGCCTGATAGTCAATACAGCTATTGTTAATAATATGTTTTTGCTCCCACAAGCTGGCAGAGCTTAGTGTAATTGTTGTGTGCACCTTCAAAGAGCTGTATGAAAGGAATAATTGCAATACACTCTGAAGTACAAATTTTAAAATTGTTTAATTGGAACAAAACTGCTACTTGAATTTTTTTAAGAATTGTTCTTGGGTTTAATCATTCAGTTCTAATAATTGATATTTGTAGATATTTATACTGCATTGGTTAGAAACTGAGTCAGTATATTAATAAGAATATTGTTGGTTTTTTTTTGCATTGACTATGCAAAGAGTAGCCATAATTGAAGACATAGTGCATTCCCCTTCTGGTTGTGCACTATGTCTTCAATATTGGCTACAATTTTTTGAATAGTCAATGCTAAACTAAATAGACACAAGGTCTGTTTTATCCATCTTTGTAGTTACAACATTTGTGTAAGAGGGCATGTTTCTAAAAATGTCTACTTCTTACATTTTCAACATCTGAAAATCAACAGTCAAGTCTTGCAGACAGATATCATTTGCAATATAAACCCCCTTTCCACAAAACCTGTACTTAAATTTGTTTCCATTTATTTTTTGCATTAATTCACGAGTTCTTGCTTTAAAATACTGGGTAACCTAATATCCCTTATGTTATAAAGATATTTTTCAATATTTGTTCATTTCATTTCCAAAATGAATGTAATATTAGGTTCAATATTTAACTTTTAATTTGTCATAAATTGCAGCTGAAGACTTAATAAAATTCGTAAGGGTTCCACAGAACCCAGTGTCTCGCCTACTTTTGCTGTTAGTCGTAGGCTCAACAAAAATGGGGAAAAAATTATTAAATATTTTTCTCTAGATACTATCTTTTGATTGTAAGAAGCTTCTGTCCAAGTTTGGTAAAAATCCAGGATGGTTTATGATTCTAATAAATGTTTTAAAAACTTTAACTGCAGACTGTATGTAATGTTAACTGGAAGAAAAACTAAGTCCATTTATAAGTAATATGGAAAAACAGGAAATAAATTTTTACAAAATTTCCTTCTAGATACTAGCTTTTGATCATAAACAAGCTTCTGTCCAAGTTTGGTACAAATCCAGGATAGTTTAAGAAAGTTATTAAAATTTTTAAAACTTTAACCACAGAGTGAATGTAATGTTAACTGGCAGAATAACTAAGTCCATTTATAAGTAAAATACGGATAAACAGGAATTTTTTTTTACAAAATTTACTTCTGGATACTATCTTATGATCATAAACAAGCTTCCGTCCAAGTTTGGTAGAAATCCAGGATATTTTAAGAAAGTTATTAAAATTTTTAAAAATTTAACCACAGAGTGAATGTAATGTTAACTGTCAGAAAAACTAAGTCCATTTATAAGTAAAATACGGATAAACAGGATTTTTTTTTTTACAAAATTTACTTCTGGATACTATCTTATGATCATAAACAAGCTTCTGTCCAAGTTTGGTAGAAATCCAGGATAGTTTAAGAAAGTTATTAAAATTTCAAAATCTTTAACCACAGAGTGAATATTTGTGGACGCCACCGCCGCCAATGACAACGGAATGTAGGATCGCTATGTCTCGCTTTTGCGACAAAAGTCGCAGGCTTGACAAAAATTGATGTAAATCTCAAATTATTTACAAGTCAAACATACCTGATACTATATTTAAAAACTGTATAATCAAAGTTAGAAGTTGAAACATTTTCTGATTTTTGTGAGGTACATAGGATGAAGATGAAATTGTCCTGTTTGTCAGGAGGTATATTCTTCAACAAGGTCTGATGAACTGACTTTTCTTTCATGGACATTCTGTGAGATGTATTGTGTCTATATCTATACCATCCTATTGTCGACTGAAATATATAAATAGATAATTTACTGTAAACATAATTATACACTCTCAATATTGTTGACTGATAAACATTAATAAATAATTTACTGTCAACATCATTATACACATTCTCACTGTTGTTGACTAAATCTTATGGAAATTTCATGTGCATGACATTTTGAAGGCAAAAGTTTTCAGCAAACAGGAAAACTGAAAACCAGTCACATGGTATGACATAAACAGATGAAGTTGTTTGCCATACACAAAATGACTCAAGAAACTTTAATTTGTAATTGCCCCAAAAATTGTGACAGAAAAATGTTACTGACAAATAAGATAGCAGTTTTTTCTTCCTAGGATAACAATTTTTGTGAATTGCCTTGTAAATCAAAATCACAAACTGCTATATCTAACAAAATGCATGTTTTTCAGAAATTCATTAAGGAATGACTAATATTTTTTCTGTCTATGAAGAAATAACATCAAAAATGTGGTGCACACTGAATAACTAGGTTATAAAAGTGTGCACCACATTTTTCATTTAGTTTCTTCATAGAAAAGACAGAAAAAATATTACATTCATTCCTTATTATCTAATTCCATTTTAAGGAGTAAATCATGAAAAAACGTTGATGACTTCATGGTCACATGACAAAAGTATGTCTATGAGCTGATAGACAAAAAACTTTCAGCCAATCAGAAGATGTGTTACATCCAAAATTAAATTATTTCTGTATAATTTCTTAAACCACACATTCAAAACCCCCAAACCAATGTGTTCTTCATACAAATTTCCAGTATAGTGTTGAGCCCAAGTTTAGAAAAGTTGTGTAAAAAGTTTAGACTTCTAAAGATCTGGCATCAGTGTAACTTTTTTCTTATTCCAAAATTATACTTCCTTTCTCCCACCCTCTCTCTTACTGCTTTTCTTCCTGTCCAATTATTCCAAGCCTCCCAATTATCCTATCTCAATTAAATGTTTACCTTATCAATGTGGTTCAAATTTCCTTTATTATCATGGAAGGATTCAAACCTGGATTGACACGTACACCCATAGATATCTGAAATATAAACCAGTTATTATAAATATGGTAATGTGTGAAAATTACAAAATATGATGTCATGGATGTAGATTTGTGATCTTGGTTGCTTTCTTGTTGTGAAAGTTTTGGTAGGTAGCTGTCAATGACAATCAAATAATGCCTCATTCAGCAACAGAAAAACCAAATATAAATCATTTTCATACTTTATAGTGTGTTCATTTTTCAAAAAAAATTATTTACTACTGTTTGCTAGCAGCTACCAGTATTCAAGAATTTTTGTATCTTAAGGCTATTCAATTTAAATGGATGTGGGATGGTAGGAAGGTAAAAATGCCTCTACAACCAACATATTTTCTTTTGAGGAATTTTGCATACAATTTTTACATTAAATGGATTTAAAATGAACATACAGGGATTACAACTACCAACCCATGTCCAAAAATTTAAATTCCAAGCCTACCTGCCCACATCCATTAAAGGGAATAGCCCTCAAAACAAGCTGGCGGTAAATATAAAAAGTGTGATTATATTACATTTCATAACTGCCTGAACATGTCTCATACATGAATGAATTTATAAAAAATTTATACTTTGAACCAATGTGAAGTGCCATTGAACATACAAATCTTAGTTTCTACACGAACGTTGTTTATCTGGGAGTCACTAATTGTATCTTTAACATGGCTGATCACTTTTCCTGTTAATAATCCTTCCTGTAAAAGAAAGAAGCAGTTGTCTTTACTATGGTGATATTGCTAAATCTAAACTTTCTAAGTTAGATATACAGATAAAAAAAGCAGTAGCCACTTTGATCAAGTACCTCAGCTAGATGTTAAAAATAGAAAAAGAAATCTCTGTGTGATATACAAGTATCAAGAAATTTTCCATACTATTTCTGCATTTTCTTTAACGACTTAAAATTAGATAATCAAATTGAACTCAAGTTTTTATCTAGTCTTATGTAAAAATATTGAACACAAATTATTAAATTTGAATCAGTTTCACATATGTAGCAACTAACCAACCAACTTTTATTTTTCTCTTGTTGCTAAGTGCCAGTGGTAATTAACAGGAATAAAGGCCACTTTCATGACTGTACCCTTATTTTTATGTTTTTTTTTTTTTTAAATCAGATCAAATAAAATAAAACTGAACAAATTTGTGTGTGGATGTCTAAATTTTTTGAAATGGGAACAAATGATATGAATGTGTATGCTTTTGAATTACAATGCAAGTTAGTATGGGAGTACACACAGAAAAAAAATTGATAATTTTATACTTTGCCATATGTAAATCATATCATCATGATCATTCTATTTCCAAAAATATAATAAAGGTATGGGTGGCACTGACCTGCTTTTCAAGCTTCAGATTATACAAAAATTTCATTTTTTTTGTAAGGATTATAAGTCCGTTTTATGTGACTACGAAAGAAATTAAAATGATATTGTCATATAAAACATGTAAAATGCTTTCAGAAAATAAAAATAAAAATTTGATCACAGAACTCTTAATTTTCAGAGATCTCAAATTTTCTCATTTCAATAAAAAGCAGCACAAAATAATTGCATTTATGCATCATCATTTTCTAATATCTCTAAAAATCTGGACCAATCATTTTCGCTAATTTGATATCCATGATGGCAGAAGTCCCCTATTCCACCTGCTAAACTCATGAATCAAATATGAATAATTAATTATCTATAACAGATAGGTTTTGATATGATTTGTTTGAGTTTCGAGTTACCTCCCTTGGTCACTGTTTTGAAGGGGTAAACAGTTGATTTTCTTATTTGACTAACCAAGTTGAAACATACTGTACAAACAAGTCTGATAAGAGATCCTTACCCAATCATAGTGATGGATCAAACAAGGATAAAAGACATTAAAATTGTTCAGAAAACAACCCTTTCTAATCTAGGGGTCAGTATAACAAATTTAATTTTGCTGATTTATGAAGGAATTTCTGCAAACAGGCCTGTAATGTGGCATCAAAAGGGAGGTAACTCTTGCTCAAATTGAATCAATCGAAACTTATTAAACAGATTATCGCTATTTGGGAATCTGCAACAATTGAACTGAGAATTTACGACACTTGAACTATGGACATCATACAACAATCACTCTTCCTTTATGGCATCAGAGATTTTCTCTTGTGATGTCAAAGTTTTATGGGATCTTCTGTACTGCATGTACTGTCCAGTTATGAATTCAGGTCTGTTTGCCCAAAATCATGTTCGCACCCTTTTTAAACATGTTAAAGGTTTTGTGTTGAATAATTTTTGAATCATGTTTAAGTTAGTGTATTGCTTAAAAATAAAAATAATAAGATTTTATTGTTTTAAATTAAAGTAACATTCTAAAAACAAGCACTAATATTTAGTTACTACACCAAAGCTATTTACATGTATATTACAACAATCATGATTATTAAACTCACAACTATACCAAATTAGCTTTGTAAATACCAATTAACAGTAATCATAAATAATTAACCATCTAATCACAAAAAAAAATACTCCCTTAAAAAAATTCATAATTTAAATATTTTTATATATACAATACATCTTATAAACATCTAATAATTCAAACTATTTGAATAAAAATTTGGTGCAAATGTGTATGGTGCGAACAAATCCAGGGGTCGAACCTTTGGGATGCGAATGTGTCATGGGAACGAACAGACCCAATACCTCCAGCTATGATGGACAAGTGGCAATAAGGTGTATTTATACCCATCAAGTTGGACCTGCATTCACCGGATTACTGCCCAAATAAGCATGTGTATATCAGTGAAATTTCCGACAATGCTCATTTATCAAAATAAAAAGTTTTCTTTCTAAGAATATACCTTATTTCCAAGACTAGATGAGTGATCATAAAATAACATTGACAAAGTTGAGCCTGAAATTATTGCCGCCATTTTCCTTAATTCCAACGACCAGAGCTAAATGGTGAAATTTTAGCAGTTTCTAACAGTATTTCAATAACCGATAAATGTTGCAAAAGCTACATGACTAATCAGAATGTTAAAAAAATGTATGTAATGCTCGTATGCTGATTCATGACTCGATTGTTCAGAAGTTTTGATCATCCGGCTTCCTGATTATGGAGTGACTAACAAGAGAAATGCATTCCGGTAGCGAGCTTGCTTATACGGATTTTAAATTTGAAAATTAATCACTACGCATGAATTTTGATCCATTGACAGACTGATTGATTGATTGGCTGATGTGTCATGTTTATTGACTGATTTATTAGTTGATTGGATGACTAATGATTAGTTTATTGATTATTAATTGGCTGGTTCAATGTTTTATTAAATGATTGCTTCATTGATTGGTTCATCATCCGTTAGTGACCCAGGGATGTCAATATTATAATTGATTAAGGAGGAGGGTGGATTATGTTACTACGGGGTTGGGGGCGTAGAGAGTGTACGCCCCTGATGTGAAAGAATATCATTTTTTGGCATAATTAAAATGATCGTAAAATTCTGGGACTATTATACTAACTTAGTACAATAGTCCCAGTAAAATTTCAGGCTTCTCGTTTCGCTCGGCATTTTTTGGGGTACCATTTTGCACGACCACGCCCCGTTCGGACATCGGACCTTGTGAAGTATGGGGTATTGGAATTCATATGATGGGCGACATCTCGGAATTTTGTGAAGTTTTCATCGGAAACTGGAGTATGTGATATCTGAATTGGGGACTCGGTGGCCTGTCAACTCTGAGGTTGTCAATTCGAATCCGGCACGTGGCAGGTGCGTTCGATTCCAATCTTAATTGACTAGGATTGTCAGTTTTAAATATCAGTTTCTTTTCATTGAACTTGCTTCAATCTATAACATTGTGTCTTAATCATATTGAATCACTTGTAATCATTTGTACGAAATTAATGTTGATTATTCTGCTCCTTGTGGGCGCTGTGATTAGCAATAAAATATTTGTTCGTTTTGTTCCTACAGAATGTCAGTGGTGATCAGTGGTTCTCTCCGGGAACTCCGGCTTCCTTCATCAATAAAAACTGACCGCCACGAAATAGTCAATAGTGCTGAAAGTGGCGTAAAACACCAATCAATCAATCAATAGTATCTGAATTAATATATGATGTGTGGGGGTGTAACTTTTATATTGTCATACTATATTTTACACAGCAAAATATGCGGTAAATAGAAGTAAAAATGTAATAGAATGCACGCGAAATCAGCAATTAGTTTCATAAAAATCTGGGAGATCACCAATATCTCTTAATATCCTTAACCATGCAACCAGAGAATTAGGTAATCAGCGGCATCTGAGAATCAAAAGCAACACGTCACGTGTAAACAAACTTGGCGGCAATCATTTGAATCCCGCCAAAATGCAAGAAAACACTTATGAATTTTCGGTCAGAAAAAAATGGACCGAGTTCCCCAACCGTTAGAAAAGTTGTGAACGAAATTAACAGACTTCTAACAATCTACCATCAATGCAAATTCCCGTTATTCCATGTCGGTGACATTCACGGAAAGCCTGGCAAGCTCAAAGTACTTGTGACGTTGTCGTTGCTTTTCACGGTGATACAGAAATGATGGGCATGCCCTGTAATCATGATTCGAATGTACCGGGTAATCGTTTCTACAAGTAACGCCCCCAAAAAAACTCTTGCACAATGCTAAAGGTTAATTTGTGTATAGAATTTTAAAGCGAAAAACATTGTCATTTTGATAACTGTAAATTATTGCTAATCGAGTTAATAAAAAGTATACGTTTCCTACTATGCCTAGATGTCCAATTACAATTACAATTGGTCATCGATTCCGAGTTCCTTCTCATCTTTAGAAGTTTAACCACTGCTGTGACGTCATCTTTTTCATTTACCGTGGTTTCTTTGTAGAATCAACGCTTCTTTCATCCGTCACTGCGATGAAGTCCAATCTGATTACAATTGTGGTCATCGTCAAACAGACATTCATCCATCCAGAAAATATAATTATTTGTTTTTAATTGATTTTATATCAATCATTTCATGTAATTCGAAAGAAAATTAGAATATTGCTTTTTTTGGTGTCAAGTAAAGGCAATTTTATCTGTTTCGCTGCATATTTTTACACATTTGTAAAATATTGAAGTGTATATCGAGAAGAGGATTTAAACTATTTTTCTTCTAGTACCATTATCTTTTACTGGAAAATTCGTTCGATTATGCTTTATTTTTTCAATAAAGGAACAATTTTACTGAATCTTAATTTACATCTATACACCTGGAAAAAAAGTATCGCACCACCATCTATGCCATTCCACAACAATCATGTATGTCCCAGATTTTTGCTCAATCGATGATTTATTTCAAGGTTTGCACAAGGCATATAGGTAAGACTACTACAACCGCAAATTCAACGTAGGTTTCGACCATCGAATGAGAAGACGGTTAGAATCGATAACGATGGTTTCATTCGGTATTGACCATTGGTGTGTTTATTGTTACCACTTACCAGTGGTGGATCCAAAAGGGGGGGGGGGGGGGGGGGGTTCCTGGGGTTGGAACCCCCCTTTTTTTTTGACGATCAATGCATTTGAATGGGGACTTATAGTTAATGAAAATTGCACTTTATCAAATTCGTTATTTTTCCTAAACCTTTTTATTTTCTTTATGCCTGTGCGTGGTCTTGTCAAAAACAGAATTGCATAATTTATATACTTTTTGGATCCATGAATAATGTTAGGGTGATGCGATACTATTTTTTCTTTAGGTGTATACTATATAAATCCCAAACGTGACTGTCAAAAACTTATTAAATAGTAGTGTATGTAGAGAAATTGAATGAAGTTGTTATTTGAAGTCAGGATACTTTAAATAAAAAAAAAATGATTATGTTTTATAGACTTGAATAGACAAGTTTTACTATAAAACACGCGTACATAATCTTTCTTTTAAAAGAAAATCATTTATCTTATCCAAATCTTTAGAATTGTGCTGATATTGTATTACCGAATAGCGGGTTTTTTTTTCGCGGGTGTAAATTTTCGCGACTCTAGGGGCAACAAAGTATACGAACATTTTTGGCTGTTTTTTTATTTTGGCGGATTCTTTATTCCCAATTAAATATTTTGGCGGATATTGAAATGGTTGCAGTTAAAAAATGGTAAAAATTAACAGGAAGAAAACAGTGAAACATATATTTGCTGTAGTTCTCCATAAATACAAGAAATGAAAAGAAATAATTATTCTAATAGTAAAAAGAAATACACATGGATAATGGAAAAACAACATTTGGGGTAAAGTAAAACACATGTTTTGGATTGTCAAATATTTACAAAAGCGTCTGAAATTTTATCTGAAAATCTGTGACAAAGTCCATTTACTGTAACTTGACTTTAAGTGACCATTTGGGACATCTTACTGTACTGTATATACAGATATTTTTTTTCTAGAACTACTGCCTTTTCGATTTGTTGTTTGAAAAAAGTTTTCGCTCAAATTTTCCTGGACTTCACCCTGAACGCCGTATTCATTAACGGGCATAATAATGTAATTTACGGCGGAAGAACATGGTAACAAGAGAGTTAAGTGAGTTATTGGAAGTCCTTGGAAAGGTCAATTTATGCTGGGAACAGTATATCTAATATAGTCAATATATATGTTCCTGATTTATGATACAAGTACACAAGATTCATTTAGCATGTTTGAGTTTTCTTTCTTCAAATTTGTAACAAAAAGTTTGTGACGAAAACGTTTTGATTGTCCTCGTAGTTTATAAATGTGACCGCTAACGAAGTACTTGCCGGAACTTTTACATATCAGTTTCGATATCAGCAACCGCAATTAGACACTCCTTTATTTATGTTTGGCTCTCCTGACTGAAAGTCACTGTTTAAGGGTAAATTAATTAATATGTCGGTATCACATGAAGAAATTGTGTCATTAATACCAGCAAGCAAAAGAGGTTACAATCCAGTGCCTAGAGATAAAAAATCGGTAAGGACAATTGAGGAAAAAAAATATTTTTTACGTGCTGCTATGCACGTCACGACCCCCTTTCCATCTACCATTAGAGATAGATTAATAGCCCCTCCTTATGATCATCTTCATAAGACTAAAGGATTGCCATAACCATAAGCAAACTTTCCAAATCAGTTTTAATTTTTAGTGGTGAGCCTTTACTTATATTTATGGCTTATGGCTATAACAATTTATGAATCTGCAACACGACTGCCGACTGGACTCAAAAATTTGTGAACTATTGACATCAGGCAACAATTTTTACTTTCTTTTTTGGCTTCATTAGCTTGTGAACTCTATCATAAGGGATGCAAATATTTATCTGTTTCAAAAATTTCATAGTGACATTAGTACGGTTGCTTAGTGATGTCCATGCGCTATCTGTCTATCTATCTATCTTACCGTCTAGCTATGGACTCATTGTGAGTGTAGATACTCCAGTGTGATGAACAGCTAAAAACTTCCAAGTATGTACAGTAAAAATAAAGTTAGTATGTACAGTTAAAATGTAAGGTGTTCTTTATTAGTTGTGGAGTAGTGTCGACACGCTGACGGCTTGAATAGTGTGTCTAAAATGGTCCACAGATGGGGAAGCTCGGATATTTAGATGTATGTTATTCCAAGATATGATAGTGGCAGGTATAAATGAATGCATGTATTTGAAACAGTCTAGTTTCATTCGTATCTGTCTGATGTTGTATGCAATTGAACCACGGGTTCTGGTGTTGTGGAAGTGGAGCAGGTGGTGGATAGGAACTTCTACAACACTGTTCACGACATTACAACTCTGTTCCCTGGCTCTCCTGTGTTCTTGTTCTCAACCTAGTTGTTGAATCATTTTTATGACACAGCCAGTGTTCCTATATCTTATAATTCAGTGTTCTTCCTAGATATTGTTGATGGCAAACCTAATATTGTGACTTGTTCCTTTGCCAACTTGTACCTATTTTTGTAGCATTATTATCATGGTTATATATATATAATTATGTATCATTTAATTAGAGAAATCCTAAACTTAATAATGATTTTGTATTTTATAATTGATCTTGTTCGAGACATGTATAAATACAAATTCAAATTCTTTATTTTTCTATAGCATACATATATATATATTACATG